AATAGAAAACAGCAGTGAACTGTCATCCATAGTCTTTCAGCAAAAGGGAAATGAACTGGTTTTGATAGCAGTTCTTTTTCACATCAGAGGGAAAGCTTCATAGAAAAAGGAGACTTACAGATAAAAATTTAACTCCCTCACACAATATACATTAATAAAGAGGAAAGGAACTTCAGCTCCAGATCTCAGCAGGTTGCTTTTGATTGCTGTGTGGCTAGTAAAAATAAAACTCAAATACACAAATAAATACATTTAAAAAAATCAAAAGGAAAAGGGAATATCCTTGGTTGATCAATTGAATACACAACAATAATTAGAAAATTCTTTCAGCTATATACAGTGGTAACTCTAACCAACTTCTCTAAACAGAGACCAATAAAAAACTATGGAGTAATCCAGTATCCTTTAATAAAAGAGCATGAATGGGAGTGATTTTATTTCCATTTTGTCAGAACTCATCACACTGTCTTTTTAGGTGTTGGTCCTGTGAAATGAGCTCCTCACAGTTAACAAACCATTGACCAAAAGCTTTGACAGTGCTCATCATGATGGTAGGGTGAACACACTATGAGGAATGGTCCTACCCTCAATGCTATGAGTTCTTCCTCTAAAAAATCCAACATAGTGAGCCAAACAAGTCTCTACTCAGGACAGAATGAGCCAATCTTAAAGTGCAAATATAATTAGTCTGAAAAATTCAATCTCAGTTTTGTTGGTCCGTTACCACCACTATCAAACTGTTTCCAATCTTGCTGTTCCCACAGCTGATTCCATCACCTTCATGTGCACTCTTTGGCATAATAATGCTATCCAGGCCTTGACACAGTGTAAATAAACTTTTTGCTGTTGAGTGTACATTTTCTCAATTGTTGGCCAGCTATACAGAAAAAAATATAGCTAGGTATTAATAGTTTGCATTTCCACATCAATTCTCCTTGCTCAAGCAAAATTCCTGATTGATATATATACATATATATATATACATATTTCCTGCAGAAATAATTCTGCAGTGTTCAGCATATGAGTTATTATTTCTAACAAGAGGAGTAATAATATAAAAAAAAATCTCAAGTAATTAAAGATGTGATGTCACACGCCTATTTTCATATCTTGTTACATCTGGTTACACAATAGGCCTGGCTGTGAGCTGCTGTCCATGCTTTTTTTTTTTTTTTTTAAGCAGTTGGAGTTCTCTGATTTGCTTCTGCTAATTTGTTGGTTGGTATGGTTACATCCGTGTGAAACCTATGCTGTGGCAAACACTGTACTCCTGTGAACACCTTTTTGCTTTTGTGTGACTCTTCTCTGTGAACAAACAAGAGTCTGTGATGTCTGGGTAACAGCTCTACATATGGCATTCACACAGCGCTTTCCACATACTGGACCCCGTGTGCAGTATGTTCCATACAGGAGATGCAGGAGATGAATTCTTGCTCTCATTCTATCTGCAGAGACTTGCAGTGACACAAAAGGTCTGTAATATGGCCAGCCAAGAATTAGTCCTGGTTTATGCTTAGAGGTGGAAGGCAATTGTTTGTTTCCTATCATCATTGTCTAAGTGATGGACAGGAGATAGAGCAGCACTCCTGTTGCCAGATTTTCATTTCACATATACTGGTGTGCCAAATCAGAGTAGCTTGTTGGGATTTTTCAGTTTACAACAACTTGGGTGGACTGATTTAAATCATATTTTAGGGGGGAGACCCTTATGAATGAGAGCATAACTCGTTGAATGCAATTTTTGTCAGGTTAGTCAAAGAACAACAACAACAAAACAAAGCTAATTACCCTTTCACATACCAGATCCAGGTCATTTTTATCAAATAAGAATGAAATATTTTGAAATTAGCCCTTAGCAAAGGCATTTGTGAAAACAAACGTTTACATATTTGTACATGTAAATAAATAAAGTCCAATTACCACAATTAACATACAGCTTCCTAAGCCTGTCAGCTTTGTAGGCTTCTGGACTGAGTTCTGGCTTGAACACAGTGAGGGAGGCCAGTTCAGGCCATTGAATGGCCTGAATGACATTTAGACCTAATTGGCCTAATGACAGTTAGACTAATGATGCCAACATATCCAAAAACTTTTTTTTTCTGCCTGGACCTAGCCTACACTCTTCATAGCCATTAAATGCTACACAAGCAGCTGTCTTATTCCTCCTTCCAGGAGAACAACCAATCTATACCTATCTATACAGCCAAATATCTTGTTGTCTAAATGTCTTTGTCAGCAGTTTTAAAGAGCCAACATCTCTCCTTCACCTCACCCCTATCAACTTTTCAATTAACTTCTTGTTACTTGGAAAAAAAAAGAACTTTTTCTGTGCTAACAGATTACTAATTACACTTCTAATTCCATTTAATTCCACTCTTATATGAGGCATTTCAGTAAAAGGAATGTGTACATACATTCATATGAGGGATGTCACTTCATTGTGGCTGTCATTGAAAAGAATACCATAGATCCAGATTCCTCCCTCCTTTGAAGAAAATGCAGTCTTCTCAGGTGTGTTATATTTCCTTACAAACAGTTTTTTAAAATAAAAGGAAATCTTTTAAACATTATGGAAATTAAGTACCACTGCATACTACTGATAAATTGCTGCAGCATTTAACCAAGACAATATCTGGATTCTGTGCTGTATTGAAGGGAAAGGTCGTAGTTAGCTGTGTGTATAAAAACTGTGTTTAATTCTCTGCATGCTGCTATTGTAATGTGAAGTCAAAGTTAAAAGGTGGTTCAGTCATGGGTGAAGTGCAGTTCAAAGTTGCAATCTTGCCAACTGTTTCATTTTAAAATGACTTCTTTCTCTTCATATAATAGCAGTAGCTTTCATTTTGCTTTACCCACACAGATCACAAATCCTTCACTCTAATAAAAAACACCCAAAAGACTTAATTGAACAAAACAAGAGTACTTAGTAAAAGCTAACAAAGGTTATTACTTCTGATTTCACAGTATGCTACAGTAGCTCTTTTTTCCAAGTATACTGCCTATGAAATGAGTCATGAGTATGTTGCCCTAGTCAGATGTAATGGACAGCCTCTTTGAGATAATCCTAAACCCAGTATTCCGTATACAAAAAAAAATAAAAATAATAATGTTACAGGCTTTTGACATCTTCTACCAAAACAAAATCTGTTTTTATTTTTTAAATAAAGCAGTTATCCTTCATAGGGCTGCTAGGTGTTGTCACTTTCACAAGCATTTTTGCGAATAGAAGGGTTTTTGAAGGATCTTTTCCGTAGATGTTAGATGAAGGGTAGCAAATGCAAAGCAAGCACCGGCATTCTTCAGCTTCATTAAGGTGCCATCAGATAGAACAGGATGATCTTCTCCACGTGCCAAATGTACTTTTTGTTGAATTAAGACCTAAACTGTAAAAGGTGTAGTGTCTGCCCCATAGGTTTTGCAATGGAAAGTCTTTCAGCTTCTGCAACATAACATAAAAAAATAATAATAACAATAATGAAAAATAAATATCTGAATGATTGCTTGTAAAGAGCTTAACTTAAAATTACTAATGGCAAAGCAGAAAGTTAGTATTTAGAAGATATTTGAAGACTGCAAATAAAATAGTAACAAAACCAGATTATATGTTTGCAATTCCAGATAAGTAATACCTGTCACTGAACTGAAATATGTTGAAAAAATAGGAGACTTTTATTTTACTATATTTTGTTCTCAGGGAACCATAATACCGCTAATTGTATTCACCTTGTTAAAATATTTTGCAAGTCTTACCTGTTTGAATCTGGGAACTTCCTAATATGTTTTTCTATTTGAAAGAAGATACCTTCAGTGCTCCAATAAATTTCCCCTTGAGAATATGTTAATTAGGGGAAATTTTAAAGTAAAAGTTCACAAAAAATAAAGGGGTTGCAAATCCATGGTATTTGGAATTACTGTAGCCATTTCCTAGGTTTAATTTCAGCCCCGTTGTAATATAACAGTCTAGGAGAAGCTTAATTTTAAATACTGAATCAGTACATAGTTACGATACAGTTCAAAAGATGGTTGCCTACCCCAATTATACATATCAATCCTCAGATAAATCAGAAAATGTATGATCCCTCTGGCAAAGGGAGTTATGCATTTGGACCCTTTGTTACTGTGCTGAGTGTTTTAATTATGTCAGTATATGAAATGTCATGGTGCAAGAACTTACATGATAGTTGTCTCGAGAAATGCATAATTGAGGGAATCATGGATTTGTGGAGTAGTTCAGGTTGGAAAAGACCTCAGGGTCATTTTATGCACTCTCCTTCTCACAAAGTGTTGCTTAATTATATTAAAGATCATTCCATGATAATGTAGGGAATTAGTCAAATCACCAAGTTAAACTATCAGAGTCAAATACATTAGGTATATTTAGATGGGGGAACCAGGCAGAAGATTCAGTTTATGCAAAAGGATGCAATTCTGATCTGTAAGTACATGATTTCTAGATTTTATTATCTGAGAGCAAAAGGGCAAAACATCCAGATCTCAAACAGCAGAGGTGTCTGTGCCTGGTATAATTAAGAGGAAGCTTGTTAGTGAAATTTTCTGAACCATACACAGAAATAAGTGTGTTAGCCATGGCTAATGAGCCATGGCTGGAAAAGGAGGAGGTATGTTAAGATGGCATTTCTTTTTCGCTGAAAATAACTAAGTTCTCTGATATTATTTTATTCGTGCCAGTCAGATTTTAAACCTGCTTGTAAGAGTGCATGATCATGTGGTGGCTTATAGACTGTATGGGAAGGTTTAAGAATATTGCTTAATTTTTAGCTAAATCAAAACAGTTCTGAAAGTTTTGATGTTGTTTTATAGGGATTTGCTGTGACTTCTTTGCATCACTGTCTCATTTTCAAAGAAGCTCTCAAATCTTCCGTGTTGTTGATTTAGTTCATTTTCTATGTCAGTATGTTATTCTGCAATGTCAAGACCTAGGTCAAAATACCTGGCAGTTTGACAATCAGCATTTTTTTTTCTTTATCTGAATTTGATAGAGAATTTTCCAAAGAAAGAGAAAAAGCCAAGGCCCGAGGGGACTTTCAGAAGCTACGTGAAAAGCAACAGCTCGAAGAAGATCTGAAGGGGTATTTAGACTGGATTACACAGGCAGAAGATATTGACCCTGAGAATGATGAAGAGGTTGATGAAGAAGGCAAACGGAACAGTACGTGTTCTTTACTTAGTGCTACTTCTGTGTGGGGCAGTTTGATTGCTTTTAGTGAGTTACAATGGGGAGAATGCAGCCTATGTGGTGGTGTTGTATGTTTTTTAGTTTGCAAAAGCATTTGTTAACAGAACAATCATGTCTACTAATATATTAACAAATGAAGTTATGGAAGATAATTTAGAATTTTACAGTAAATATTTGCTCTGACTTGTCCATGTACAAATCATTACCTGCACTCAATCACTACTGAGATTTAAAAACTTTATTTCTGTTCTGTGAAAAGTTAGTGCATACATGCCCCTAGGTGTTGTCATAAATCCTTGGTCAAGAAGAATACATTCTTACCTGTAGGTGAATGCACAGAAATCATAGCTCACGGCCAGAACTACGGTAAAGACATAACCTTGTGTTAATAGGACTTTTTTGAGGTTTGAAGTAAGAATTTCAAAAAATAGTAAAAGTTACATAGTTTGATACAGAGGTATCTGTTTTAAACTTAGTTCTGTAATGCATGTAGTTAAGTTTTTGAAAATATTTTTATTTTTAAGAAACGTACCAGTCCTTTTGTTTGCAATAAAAACAGGGCCTGAATTTGCATTGCTGACAGAAGGGAAATATGATTTTATGATAAGCTGGGAAGCAACTTGTGGGATGATGATGTCAGTATCACCATAACAGGAGTAATCTATATCTAAATAAAAATCCATAGCACAAGCAGAGTTTGATCTAGAGCAGAGCAAATAAGCCAAAGATTTAATAGAGTTCACTGTGCTTGGTGATTGCTAATAATTTTATATGGAAGATACACACAAATTATGGGGTTGTGAATGAGTATAAAATTCTAAAGCTGAGAAGTAAACGATTACACATTCTACAGAGTAAAATCCAGTGTACAAGGCTGTCATGCAGGGTTGTGGGTGATGCCAGATATGCACAACTGTGATGGATTTGGTTTCAAAGTCTGCAGATGAAATTTCAGGAATTTTTTGCATTGTGTTCAAATTGCCTGCTTATTAATTTGCTGTGAATAACCCTTTGCCCCATCATTCCTTAAACATCTTCTAGATCATGTAGGTCTTTCATAAAATCAAAAATACTTGTTTCCTTACTCGTGTTTGAGAGAGCTTTTTGACTTAGACATAGTTCTAGGACAAATTAAGAGTTGGAGGAGACTTCCAGAGTAACAAGAGGATAGGGAATGTTATTAAAAGAACTTTAAAATGAATCTCAAGAATTGAATTTTGGATAGTTGCTTCTGTTTTAAATATACAGTATCAGAGCTAACTTATTAACATAGAAATAGCAAAGAAGAGTAGAAGCTCCTTTATCAGTGTTATAAAACTACTGAATACTTTATGTGTGTTTTATCTTCAAAGCCCTAATACTGTCAGCTGGTCATAATACCCTTACAATGCAAATATTTGCAGTTTTCTTTTGACTACAGAGAAAAACAGTTAAAATGGAGATTTAATAAGTGAATGAATTTACTGCAGTCTCATCAATACAGCATTGCTTTTCAATGAATAATGCTTCCTTTGCAGGTGGTCAGCTTTTGTATACTTAGTGGTATCTCTTTAGTCCTGTCAACTTAATTTCTACTACTGTAACAAGGGAGAGCGTAGGGAAAGCTGGCAGACCTAATGTGATTCCTACTTCTGCAGCTCTGCTAGAAGCTGAGCTCTGCTTCATTCTACTTCGTCGTAGAATGAAGTGAACTAAGAAATCAGGATGGTGATGGCACCAGTATACTAAGGGTATACTAGTATACCCTTAGCTGTGGCTGAGATCTTGGTCATCTTCTGGCAAGATACTGCCTTAGCATTTTTTTTCTCCACAAAGCAGACATAGTGCATGTAATCACCTGGAATGGTTTTTTCAGTCGTATATTCCAGGCATCTTGTGAAAATCACTACTGGTTTGTCTGAGTTGTAAAAGGTTCACAAAACATTTTGCACAAGCTCAATGGTTTGTTTCACAGTAAACTGTTAACCTGCCAGCATTCTTTTAGCACTGAGCACGTCGTATGTGGACGTTGAGTGGAAATTTCCAGTGAATGGACTGTCTCCTAGCACTCTTCTGGGTTTGTGCATATGCACTTAAATATGTGGCAGTGTCATTCATTTTTAGCATCATCTGCAACAGGGTGTGAAGGACAAAGGTTTGCTCAATCACTTCACCTTCTTGCATTTAAGATGTGTTCTGCTGCACATCCCATTGCATGGGAAGGTGAGATGAGAGAGGGCACAAGCTGTCTATCCACTTACTCCAGAGAAAGCTGTTGGGTTAGGAGCATAATTATGATGATGAACTACTTCTTTGAGAGTCAGATGAAATTTAGCTAGCTATCACCAGGTTAATATTCTTGAGTAGTAAGCTTGGGAGATGATTTTAGTCCAAATGTACCAATGATTTCTAGAACTATCTTTGAAGCAAGTGGTAGAGCTGGGCCTGAAGATGGATAGAATAAGCATTTGCAAGCTGCTGAGCAGCCATGGCCCCACTTCAAATGGCTAAGCCTCCGGACAGTCATGACAGCCATTGAGTAGGATGGTGATGGAAGATCACCATGATCTTCAGTGATGTGGTAGAGCTTTGGGTTTAGGATATGGGAGATCTCTCCATGACAGGAATAGATACTGATCTAAAAGGCAGTTAAAATCAATGATTATTGGCTTCTTGTATGGTCATTAAAAAATGTAGTTAAAGTTTCTGAGACCACAGCATTTTACAAGTTCTAACCAGATAACTGAATTTTCACTAAGTTATTTATATATGAATCCCATGTATTTGTGCATTTTTGTTGCAGATAGTGGGCAGGTATCCAGTACTGTCGAGTAATGTACAACCTTTTAACTACTAGAATTGCCAGCATGTTTCTAGTAAATGTTAAAGGCTTTCATCTTTATTAATTAAACAACAGCTTGTTACCCTGAAATCAATGAAAGAAAACACCACCACCCTTTGTCTTCAAAGGAATGTGAATTTAGCTCAAAATGCAAAAATACAAGTGAGAGGTGATGGTTATAGCTCTGATAAATTATGCAGCCGGTAATTTCAATTTGTTTTGCCTAACATTACTTGTGTTGTGTATCTGGACACGTTTTTATTGATTTTTTATTTTTTTTTGCGTTGCAACTGCTGCCATCTACTGTGTAAATGCTGGGATTACATGTATTTAACACGAAGGGGTTACATTGGCTGACTTAATGGAAGAAAAGAAGAAAAGCAGACTTAGTTGCTTTGGCCGTTCTTCCAATAAACATGGTAAAACATACTCTGATTTGCAGTTGAACTTTCTTTTGTGCCACTACTGCATTTGATGTGTTAGCCTTTGAAGCCTATTGTATGAATTTTCCATAACAAAGGTGTATACATCTAACATGTAGACATCCATGCATGCGGTTCTGCTGTTTTAAGTGCATGCTTCAAATAGACTGATGCTTCAGTGCTCTGCCTTCTTAAAGCATAGTTTTTAATCCATTTAGATTTTGACTGAAGTGTCTTTAAATGTTGTTTAAGTATAGGTTTTCTTTCTTAAAGTTACAAAATACAAAATATATTTTAAATTTAGGTGTGAAGAAGTCCATCAAAGTACGTCACAAGCTTTATACTGGATCATATTGCAAGTTTAGAACAGCATGGTTCTAACATTATATTCTAATATTACTATAAATACTAAATATAATATTTATATTTTTGATTATATTTTTAATGCAGGATATAACAACAACAACAACAACAAAAAACACACTTTTACTGTATCTGCTTTGCTATTGATACTTTTGTTTTGATAATTCTGTTTTTTCAATTTCTCTTCCACTCTGACTGGAGATGCAGAAGGGTTTTAGTGTGATGGGCATTTTCAAATCTGCACTGTTTTAATACTGGCAGATGTGTTGATTTGACATTATCACAATGGTAGCAATTAGGAGATCTGGTTTTAAGCCTACATACAACAAAGTTATCGGAGCAACTGACTTCCTTGCTGTCATGAGGCAGTCACTGTTGTGGCTCAGCCAGAGGCTGGCAAATATGATGCAGTTACTTCAAAGAATGCAGAATATTATTTTGCTAGGACTTTATGGACTCATTTTTACAAATATTAAGTCTGCTTAAAATTATTTATGTAGCTATTAAATATATTGTAATTTTGATTATTTCACTGTCCTTCCACTGCAAGGCAACCAACCACATTCAAACTTATCTTTAGTTTCTGAGGGCTGCCAATAAAAAGAAAGCCCATGAGAATGGACGTTGATAGTATCAAAACTAAATGTGCACTATGTAAGCAGGTACCTCATATCATGTAGAACATATTCCAGGCAGCCCCTCCATAAACAGAATTAGTCCTGAGGGGCTTCACAGTCAAAAGATTTCTTCCTGTTCTGTTTTCTGGACATACAGCAGATTTAGAGAAATTTTGTGATGAGTTTGCAATGATAGTGTTGCCACTTTTTTTTTTATTTTTTTGGTTGTTAGTCTGTTTTCCTATCTGACTACCTCAAATATTTGGCATAAAGAATTGAGAAAATCTATGTACTGTTTTGAGAAAGAATTAGGACAATTCTGAAGCTTATGGAACTGGTTGGCTATTAGTAGCAGACACAAGAAGAGCGTTTTGCAAGGTTTGCTCTAAAACGTTGCCAGTATCATACCATGTTTAGTAATAGTGTGATTCTCACCAGTAGCTATTTCTGGTTATTGTACTCTAGCTGTACAGATCACTGTGCTTCTGCAGGTTTTTTTTTTCAGCATGTGTAACCAGAAGGCTACCCCCAGGTTCTCACTGTGGAAGTGAGATCAACCAGTGGATCGATAATGCATAGCTGAAGTTGAACCAGAGTAAAATGGAATTTATATACCTTCTATAGGAAAGAAACTGCCACAATAATATGTGCCACCATGGTTCAATACTGCAGGCTGTAATTTAGCCTGCTTCTGGATTCCATGTTAACGCTAGATTTTTGTATAGTAGGATTATTGGAATTTATTTCTTCCAACTCCAGCTGGCTGGGACACATCAATGCTGATGAACACCAGCTCCCTCTTAGTTATGCAAGGTTTTGTCCTGAAGTGGGGTTTGAAATTCCTGCACCAAAAATCTGAAGACCTCAAAGCTGGCCTTCTGTGTGCTGTACATTGCCCAGCCAACACCACCTTACAAAGCTGTCCTCGTGAAACCGGGTCTTTTCAAGACTTGCCAAGTTGCTTGCATTGGTTAGAGTCAATGTGGTCATGCAGTGCTCTTGCTGTTTTCTTCCAGCTAAAGATTTAAAGACTTGCTAGCATTGTTGGAGCTAGACTTCCACACTCTGCCTTTCTTAGTGTTTCTGTCAAGTTTTTCTGTTGGTGTACAAATTACATATAATGTTAGATGTGTTTCTAATTTAAACTGAACTGCCATGGTTCTTTTTTTCCTCTCCTATTTTGTTAACAAAGCACCTGCAAGTCACTAATGGAGTTAGAGCAGCGACCCTGTTTGAAATAGGGGATGACATCCTGGCTATACTTAATAATTAGTGGAACTGACATTGGCTTCAACAGGGACAAAGTTTTTTTCCTTGATATTTTGCTTTTCTTAATGCAGTCATGTTCAGAGAAGGCTGATAATTCTAACTGAGCATCAACTCACCAAGTCTGGGTAGACTTAAATAAAAATTACATTACTTTACACTAAAAAAATTATTTGACATATTAAAACAAAATAGCATTTGTGTGACATGGAGTGACAATTTGAGGAACAAGATTCTAGGTACTGCTTTGGGATGGTATATTTGATGTACAAGTGTGAGGGATGTTGCACATGTTGTGCATGTGAGACTTTCTGCAAAAGTGGTCCTCTGTTTTTATGTAACAGCCCTTAATAACAGTGTATGCAACAAGCCTTCTGAACTCCTATGTTTTTGGTTACCCATAAAAAATGCTAAGATGTTCATCACTAGGTGACTATCATGTTGTGTTTCCTAACAGCAAGCTACCACCCAGCAAAGAATAACCATTTCAGTTCCTTATCAGACAGAGAAACTCATTGTATTTATTGCAAAATAAAGCTGTCATTTCTTCTTTCTTCTGAAGATCTGAGAAAGTGCTTGAAATAGTTTTGTCATTTTTTTCCTAAGCCGTTGAAAATATGAATTATGGAATTTGGATGTCATCGAAGACTACATGCTTTAATTTTTAACAAAAATCCTTTTTAACTCTGTAAGCTGTGAAGTTCACATGAGACTAGCAGTATTCATTTTCTAAACCTTCAATGATATTATATTATGATATTAGAATAGAGGCACTTGCAGGTGCTAACCAGGGATTTTTCATATATAAAATACTGTAAGATTTAAAAAGAATAATCAAAGCAGAAGAACCTCAGGAAAGAATGTTTTGCTGTGCTTACTGCCTGGAGTGTCTTGTTTTATTCAAAGACCCTTATGGACAGTTTGGATCTTTCTATGCTATGCCAAGTCTGTGTTTAACGTTTCATGTAATGGTAACTTATATTTGTGGGGACAGATTCTCATCTTTTGCAAAGGCTTGCTGAGCATCTAGTCTGCACAGAGCTGACAGTCTCTCAAGTATGGAATTAGTGGGCATGTAAACCAACGTACCATAATCCCTTGCAAGTATCTCTAGGTCAATATTGAGGCAATACAGTGGCTATGCAGAGAAGCTGTTACTAACAGTTCTCATTTTGTGCATGATCTTTAGACAAAACAGAAAATTAGTGTCTAATTCTCACTCACATTAACATGAATAATTAAGCCCACTTTAAGCCTCCTTTAGGCAACAAAATAGTGAGAGATCCCTAATAGAAATGGGTATTGTAGTCCTTCTGCCTTCATTAATCTCAGTCCACAGACATGGGCTTAAAATTATATATATATGATATATATATATCGGACATTTGGATATGTGTTGATCCAAAAAGCAACAAACCATCAGGAGGTACAACCCAGAATACCCTTAAGATACTCTATTTTGCTTTTTTTCCTTGCTATTCTACAGTAATTTCTATGTATCTTCTACCTTCTTTTTTTTCTACTTTATATGATATTTCTTCTATATAAACCAGCAAAATTAATTTGACACTTTTCTTGTTCCTGTAGTTTTCCTTTAATGCTTCCTTTGCAGCTGTGGAAGTAGTGTTCTCTCCTAGGATGTACTGAGCACTTTGATTGTTCATCCTTTCCTAACACCTATCAATACATTCTGTCTCTCTTTTTCAGCTGATTTCGAGGTAACTGGTGATGATGAATTGACAAATGAGTTTATTCTAATAAATCATTGGCTACAGTTGCTAACTATGATCCTTACTTGAATGAGGGGTTGGACTAGATAACCTCCAGATGATCTCCTTTTTATTAATAGTAGTCCTCTTCATCCATTGTAGTTCCTATTCTGCCATTCACAGTGCTCCTTCCTGTCTGCTCATATATTTACAGGCACAATTACTTTCTAGTGTCTTGCCTTTATAATTTCATAATGGAAGTGAAAGCATAGAGTGGTCAGTGTGATTGGAGTGTGATAGCCCTGTTTTCAAGAGGAACTTTGGTATTTCTTGGAATTAGCAAGCATGTTTGAATTAAACTGATGATTACCTCCAAGGTGGTAACAGAACCCTTCAAAGGTCACAGAATCTAGCATTCGTTTATTAGGAGAAACATGCTCTTTGTTGCAAAATCTCCCTACAGTGTATTCTGTGGTGCATTTTCTGCAGTTATGATGAATCACTGAAATGAAACAAAAAAAGTTAAAGTATACTCTGGAATTCTGTGTGCTTTGTTTTGTTATAAGAGGAGGACTGTTGGAAGTGTCTGACTTCATCTACTATTCCTCAGACCTTCCAAGCTCTCATTAGATCTGCAGAGCAGATGCATTCTTGTGACAGAACAGATCAGTTTCTGTGTAATGCCTTGCTTGGCTCAGCAGTCTAAAACAATTGCTGTCTCCTAACAGCAAGTATGCCCACCAGTGAAACTGAATCAGTGAACACAGAGAACGTGAGTGGAGAAGGAGAGAACCCAGCATGCTGTGGGAGTTTATGGTGAGTACACACAGACTGTTTCAGGTTCCCTCCTGTTGTGGTTTAACCCAGCAGGCACCACGCAACTGCTCACTCACTCCCCCCGCAGTGGGATGGGGAAGAGAATAAAAAAAGGTAAAAGCGCGAGAACTTGTGGGTTGATATAAAGGCAGTTTAATAAGAAAGAAAAAGAGGGTCAGCTCTCCCCAGTTTCACAGCGCAGCACAATGACACATGGCACGGAATAGCCCTTTGGCCAGTCTGGCCCAGCTGTCCTGGTGCTGTCCCTTCCCAGTTCCTTGTGCACCCCCAGCCTCCTTGCAGGCAGGTGGTATGAGAAGCCAAAAGCACTTGACTTAGTGTAAGCATTGCTCAGCAACAACCAAAACATCAGTGTGTTATCAACATTATCCTCACTCCAAAACACAGCACCACTACTAGGAAGAAAATTAACCCTATCCCAGCCAAAGTCAGGATACCTCTTCATCTCAAAATTTAAAAGAAACCTTTCTTCCTTTTGCTGATTTAGCCAAAATTGCTTTCAATTGGTGAAACTCTGTATGACTTTTATTTATTTATTACTTTTTGTTACTTTAAGTTAGACTGCGGCATTAATACACTCCTAAAGTTCTCAAATTAGGAAAATGTAGATAAATTCAACTAAACTTCCAGTGGAGTTATATTTTCCTGAAAACTTGTATAGAATATAATTGCACTGTTTATTTGCTCAGATTTTCATGTTTTCCAAGCATCCTCTACATGAGCATTTTAGTTATGTAGATTTAAAGCATTTCCTTTCTTTCATTTGTAGAGTTTTGGGAATGGTATTACAGAAAATAAATAACAGACAATAATATTTTAGCATTCATGAAGCATCTTGTTGGGAGCCTATTTTTATGTATATGTAATTCCAATGTATTGAATTGGAAAAATGCCTTATTCCAAGGAGAATGAATTTGTGTTAATTATTTTTATTACACTCTTTAAAATTTTGTTTTCCTTTTCTTTTAGTCAAACCATCTCAAAATCCAAGTTCAGGTCAGTATTTTCCTTTCTCGTTTCATCATTTTTTTTCCTTGATCCTTATATATTCCTTGTTTTCTTTCCTATTTGCACATCATGATGATCTGATATGATTATTTTTTGTTTACTGTTCTTTAAATTGTACTGCTTGAAAATTGTTGCTAATAGTTACTGGTGAATACAAAAGAAAAATATTCATGGACGTTCTTGGGAATCAAACTCCCTGATTTGCTTCAACAATATTTGTGGTTCTCTTTTCACTTACTAGGAACATTTGGGAGTGTGAGCTTTTATTTGCAAGTATGATTGCAGAAAGGAAGGTCATGAGCAGAATTAATAGTCCTGGTATTGTACACGTGGGATGTGCCAGTACAAAATCAACAGGGTTTTTTTATTTTGATTTATTTCCAGTCTTACAGAACATAAATTGAGCAATTAAAAAGGATAATTGCCAACACTGAAGACATACCTCTTCCTGTTTAAAAAGGTTGGGTTTAATAAATTTAAAATAATAATAAAAAAAAAAAAAGCTGTTTGATTTAAGGGAAATAATCAAGTGGCAGACCTAATGAATCATGAAGGGCAAAGACACTCCTACAGTTGCAGATAATCCACAAAATAAATCTGTTCACAGAAAATTTTTAGTGAAAAAAGGGACAATCAAGATTTGTCAACATGTGGAACCAGCAGTTTTGGCAACATCTAGAATCATTACATTTTTTTAACCCTAATAAAAGTGATTTCAGTTTTGAATTTATAACAAGTAAAACATTGGTAGCAGCAGTGTATTCTTGCAGCAGTGAATAGTGTACCCATTTTTTTTCTACTAGCCTTACTAACACTTACTAATTTTGAGTGGATTTGCATTCCTTCTGAATAGTCTTTTTTTTTGAAGAAGAGCTCACCGGCAACATTTTACTGATTCTTTTCTACACTGAGAAAACTTTCATGTCACTCTGTGATTGGGTTTTATTTTGTCATGCCCTTCAGTCAACCAGCTGGTGAGCACATAAACATGGTTCGCTCAGTCTTCTGCTGAAGATTTGCCGATGGAGATCTGGGCATTTAGGATGATAGTGAATATAGACCTATCTTTTCAGAGATTTCATCAGTTAGGTCCATGTGGACCTTTGAGTGTAACTGTTCATGAGGAAATGTGAGAGATGAGATTGCTTTTAGGTTAATGAGAGGAGATAAAGTGTGATAATGGTCTGTAATTTCTCTTGGCATTGTTTCCAATTAGCATCACAATAGAACAAATGGAACTAGAGTTTGTTTAGTTTTTCATTAGCTGAGAATGAAAAACCAAAGAAGCATGATTAGAGATAATTTCATGAATCAAAATAATCAACTTTACACTGCCAATTGCTGTCAAGCCTACTTAAGCTATTTTTAAAGGAAAAACTAGAATTTGAAGTGGATGCATAAAACGTCAAATATCAGGAAGTGCAATAGACTGCCATTATATCACATTCTCCAGATGTGGTCTGTTTGCACAGCAGAAACTCATACAAACATTACAAAGAAAATGAAGTCATGTCTAAGTTCTGATCCGTACTCATTGCTTGTATTTAAAGGAAAAAAGAGAACACTAGAACTCTGCTAAACAAAATCTGCTACGTCATTTTGAGAAAGAAAAATTTCCCCCAAATCTGCCATTTTTAATAGTTCGGGCTGTAAGAAGCAATCAGTCAGTGCTTCATTGTTCAGTCATTCATTGTTCTCATAGTTAGCACCAATTTGAAAGAAAACTTAGTTTCAAACCAGAAAGTAGTCAAAGTATCCCTGGCTGTCTAGATTCTGTCCGCCACTATCCTAAATGTCTTCTGCTCTTTGATCAGAATAGGTTCTTGCTGCATTAAAAACACAGGTCACACAAGTCTGTGCATGCATGCCATGGTGCATCTACTCACAGAATTGCAGTCAGCAATGGGATGTTGGTGCATCTCATCTGGAAGTGCTGCGGGGTCTGCAGCACCTGGAGGTCTTCCTACTGTTTCTCTTCCATGTGTGGTATCAAATTTAAGAACGGGGCCTTAGAGGGCTATCTAACCATGAATACATCAGTGAATGAAAGTGAAATTGGGAACATATTTGTAAGAATAATGGCTTACTCATAAACAGTTATGAAGGAAAATGATAATTTATTTAAAAGAAAATTTAAGCAATGAATAATTTGCTTTGTTATAACAAACTATATCAATTCTAAGTGTTCTCTGTGATCTGAATATTTACTCAACTGCTATATTTTGTGAAAAACTCTTGATAATTTCATAAAAACAGTATTATATCATTGCAAATTTAGGAAAATTGAATTTCTCTTCAAAATAAAAGGGTATGTTTCATTCTTCAAAAAAAAAAAAAAAAAGAGCTTATATTTTGAAACTGGAAGGGGTGGTAACTAAAAGATATAGAAAACTCTTGAGTTCCAATCTTATAATTTGTTTGCCTATTTTATATAGCCACATTCTTATGTGTACGAAATACACTATCTGCTACTTCAGGCACTAAAAGTATTAACAAATTCACCTAGTTATTTGTAATGATTTTCCATAGCCATGGTGCCATGTAAGAGATACTGCCAAGAGGCTCCGATGCCCTTCACTGCTCTTAGCTAGTCATTGCTCTTTCACTGCTCTTAGCTAGTCATTGCTAGTCACTGCTCTTTCAGTGATGCAACAACACAAGGAATTAGATCACAAAACTGACTGGCTAAAATCAACCCAGAAGAAAAAAATTGTTTTCCACCAGTCAGTTCTCAGCTCTGACTTAGTTCATTGGGTATAGTTTTGGCAAATGGAAAAGGAGTGGGCAGAACAGGGAGAGCAAACTATTCTTTTATGCTGACGACTGTAAAACTCCAGAGGAAAAAACTCATACCATGCGTACTCCTGAGCTCCTTGTTGTATTAAGGCTTGCGTAAGATTCCGTCATTGGAATCTGTGCCTGCTCTCCTTGAATTTTAGATGAAGCAGTTGTTGAAAGCTCCTAAATTTTACTGTCTACAGCTGTAGTGCTGGGTATGTGAAGTTTATGTGCCTCCCTTTTACATAATATCAGGTGCTTTCTGTTCCTATGATCCAACAATGTATTTTCTTCCTGTTTTTCAAAGAGAAATGCAAACCAGTAAGACTAATTTGGTTTACCACAGCTCCCAGAAGTGAAGCAGAAATTGAATTCTGTTTTATGAGGCCTAAACTGAACTAATGCTCTCAGTCAGAATCCAGCTCATATCTGGCTAGGGTCTGTTTACTTGTTCTTGATTGTCACCTGTATTAATCTGACAAACTCTTGCCGACTGGTAAGATCAACAGAATGGCACATCAACAGAAACCTCTAGAAGTAGCTGTATGAGATTTCTAACACTACAGGGTAGATTTCTAAAAGATGAGCTCAACTTTCCTGCCCTGTTTGATCCTGAGTTTTGCCCATAGTTTAACTCAAAGCCTCCATTTTCAGACTAAATTCTAAATTCTATATGCTTTGTGGGCTTTTCTTTGCTGCTATTAATTGTGTGGGGCCTAGGAAGACAGATTACTCAATTATCTTGTTACTCAATGACATGTTAAATCCAGATTAATACAGTTGTCACAGACAATTAGAGACTCCAGTGGTTGTGGCTTACTATTAGAAATCCATAACAAAATCTAAAATGAGAATAACGATTTAGCACTTCTTAATCTATGACCGATAGTAACTTGCACTATTTTTCTATGCAGATGAAACCCTCCCTAAGTTCTTATGCATTTTCTGTATAATATACATTTGCTTTTATTTGAACTTTCAGTCGACGCTGGCGTCGCTGGAATCGATTTAATCGAAGAAAATGTAGAGCTGCAGTAAAATCTGTCACATTTTATTGGCTTGTTATTGTCTTGGTCTTTCTGAACACATTAACTATCTCATCAGAACATTATAATCAACCTGACTGGCTGACCCAGATCCAAGGTACAGTCAAAAATTATTTGTCCTGTTTTTGATTATGTATACTTGCATTTTATCAGTGGCTACTTTTGTACTTTGCCATTTTGTTGTTTGTTGCTGTCCTGAAGGGTGATACAAGAAATGACTGAGTGTATTAGATTTCTACATCTGTAACACAGTTTAATGGTGGACCAGTAAAAAATCTGTCAATGATAAATTCAAAGTTCCAGTACTTTTGTTGTTAAACTGTGCTTGAAGGATGAGGAAGGAAATGGTAACTGGGACAGTAGAACATGCTGTGGGCTGCACTCCTTAAGTTAGTGTGGACTCAAGCTATGAACTGAGTGGTCTTGAACTCCACAGTGGATTGGAAATATGAATAGGTCTTAAGTAGCAAGAAGCTCTGCATCCTTGTGTAACTTTTGCCCTTTTAAGTCCAAAGTAAAAAGCAAACAACAACAACAAAAAAAACCACACCCAAAACCCAGCCCTTTCATACTTCTTAAGCATAAGACTGTAAACTCATACATAAGTATAAATATACTAAAATAATATGGAAAATATGAGACAATTCAGAAATGTCTTTTTTTTTTTTTTTTTTTTTTTTTTTAATATTTTGTTCCAGATATCGCAAATAAAGTTCTTCTGGCTTTGTTCACCTGTGAAATGTTAGTAAAGATGTACAGCTTGGGTCTACAGGCTTATTTTGTTTCTCTTTTTAACCGCTTTGATTGCTTCGTTGTCTGTGGTGGCATTGTTGAAACCATTTTGGTGGAGTTGGAAATTATGTCACCCCTTGGAATTTCAGTGTTTCGCTGTGTTCGTCTCCTGCGTATTTTTAAAGTAACAAGGTAAGATTAACTAATACTGCTAACTTTAGGGATAGCTGAAGAGTGATCAGCAATTCTTTTGTAATACTTCATCATGCACTGCTCTTTTACTGTTTTTTTGGTTGTTTTTTTTTTTTTTTTTTTTTTTTTTTTTTCTCCTCGTGTGTGTTAACACACACATTTTAATTTATAGGCACTGGGCATCCCTGAGCAACTTGGTAGCATCCTTGTTAAACTCAATGAAGTCCATTGCTTCACTGTTGCTTCTGCTTTTCCTCTTCATCATAATCTTCTCGTTGCTTGGAATGCAGCTGTTTGGAGGCAAATTTAATTTTGATGAAACTCAAACAAAACGGAGCACCTTCGATAATTTTCCACAAGCTCTTTTAACTGTATTCCAGGTAACTGTCTTTCATCCCCTATGAAACATTTTACCTTTGATGATCAACAAAACTGTTTAAGTGATCATGTTGCCTGAAAACAAAATCACAAATACTATTTATTCAGTTTACTTTAAGTAGCATTCTGCTCATTAAATTCAGTATTTTGGTAATTCTGCACCATTTGTACCATTCGTTTCATGTCTTATTTGATCTATCTATGCAACATAGCTGTCATATTACTTCACAAAATTAAATCTTATTTGTCCATCAAATATACACTTAGAAGAGAAGAAAATTTTAATTATTTTGTTTTCTTTAACTTTATTAGTTATATAAAAGTTCAGCTATTCCCAGGTAGGAAAAATTGAGAAGCATTGTAAGCATGCATATTTGCATATGGGTCCTATCAGTTACTATAATATATAAATAAGTATGAATTTCTTTAAAGGGACACTGTTAGGTTTATTACAATTTTAAAGCAACTTGCCTATTGCTTTTGAAAAGACAGGGCCATACTTACAGTATATTTTTCACCATTTTCTGATGCTTCCCTCTTTGGACACTCTAATTAGGCATAGCAGTTTCATCTTTGTAGTCATTTTCATGTTCAGCTTACCACAGTGTTTGGTTTCAGACATTGCAGATGAATGTTTAAAGGTGACCCTGTAAGACTCAACTCTGTGTCAGCTTCCTCAGTAGGTGTTTCATCTGGTGGCTGACCAGAGCAAGCCAAAACCTTTACAAGTAATTTTAACTTAACAAAATCTTAATGAGAAATTTCCTTAAGAAAAAAGTATCCACATTTGGTCTGACATTGCCACTTTAAAAAAATAAGACCATACTTTCAAACCCATAGTATGTTGGGCTTTATTCAGATTTTAGGATGCCTGATTTTCAAAGGAATGAGGCTTCATTCAGTTTGAGAATATGCTCTGGAGCAACCAACCTGTTGGGTGCTCAACAGCTATGAAAATCAGATGATAAATTTAGCTCTCAAAAATGGATTTCAGAAATTGGCACACTTATCACCTGAACGGTCACTTGATTACTTGGAATGAGAATATTTTCCCAGGGTAGAACTGATACTATTTAAGTTACGCAAAAATACATATAAAGCACCCCCTTTCTCGTAATAATCAGAATTCTTGTAGCAGTACCAAAATGTAGTTATCACATTGTAAACTATCAACAAATGTCTTTAAAGTTCTTTTAGACTTTGTTGATATTATGTGAAACCATAGTAAATAAGAAAATCATGTAATTCTCCCACAGCAGTGAGCTCCATTCAGTTTAAAATAGATACCAGTCCAAAAACTATACCGGTACTGTATGTGTATTATGTAATTTATGATAAGGTGACTGGTCCCAGTTAAAACCAAAATTGGGAAAACTCTTTTACAGGACCAAAAAATGACACACTAGGAAAGGTTTGTGAACACTGATTTTGTAAAGAGACTCTGCAACAAATACTGAATTGAGAATCTTGATTTTCAAGAGTGTTGAACAGGGGGGCATCACCAGATTTGTGGCATTACTGAAAATTAGGGCTCTTAGTTTTGCATGCCCAAATCAATAAAATTCTAGTTTTCTATTTTTGTTATTTTTGCTTCTGAAGTTCAGTGATGTAATTGCTTACCATAAAATAAAAGCTAGTAGATTTAAACCCAGGCTTTCAGGAGGTGTTTATTTAAATAGCAGTTCTAAAACAATGCTTGTTAATGAAAAAAATATGGTATTGCTTTGTGTATACAGAAAGTTAGTTTTATAGTGTATTTTGAGAAGAGGAAACATAATCTATTGCTCTTTTTGATATTGAGGTACTAACGGTGTCTCTGCTTCTTAGATCCTAACAGGTGAAGACTGGAATGCTGTTATGTACGATGGCATAATGGCATACGGTGGCCCATCATCCTCAGGCATGATAGTCTGCATATATTTCATTATCCTCTTCATCTGTGGTAACTGTATCCTTTGTGCTCCCTGGAAACTTCTCCAAATGGGACTGTGAGGTAGGGTGTAACCATACTGGGGGCATATACAAAATTTCTCTAGGAGGGAGTAAATCGCTGTGGATATGAGTGCCCATTCTGTATGTGCTAAGTCCTTTGAATTGACTCTTCTTTGTACAGCAATTCCCTTTTTTTGCATTCCCTAAAGGACGAGATTCCAGTGATCACCAAGTGCATCTCAAGCCACTACAAACAACTAGATTTTTTTTTCATTCTTCCTTCAGGGGGAATAAAAAAAAAAACAAACTTATTCTACCTGCTTGTCTCTATTTGACATCTCTCCTCAAAATGCACAGATATGGTCTGATCTCCATGACAGTAATTTCCCGTTCATCCTTTTGATGCTTGTTGTAGCCCTGATAAATCTTATGCACACTGACAGTGGAGCCAGTGATCCACTGTCTAGTGCAGGGACCAGATGAGACAAATCTACAAGGAGAAATGTTAAGTCAGTTAGGATTAAGCCTTCAGCAGCATTCCCCTTCCCTGCACTGAATACACTGGAAATACTCCCTTGGTCCCATATAGCAAAAGAAGCTGGCATCGTTCTCATAAGTTCTTAAAAGGTCAGGAGGTAATAAAAAGGCAAAAACATTCTATTTTCTGTACGACACAGTACTTGAATCAGGGTTTGTACTTAACTGATATGGACTGAAGTACAGAATTTGATAGAGATTGTTATAGACACAGAAGACAGGACATTATAAAAATATTTTTTTCAAAATGCCTGAGCAGTCTTGACTTTTACAAAGCAATGTTTCGTATTTAAAACTTGATCAGGCAAACATAAAGTTATTTTGTTTGTTTGATTAAATACACCAAATATTCTGCTATTTTAAAATCAGTGACCCTAACTGATCTCTGCTGATTTTACACTTGGTATTATTCTGGTCCATGAAATGAGCGTTATTTGCACAACACTCCAGCATCACACATCTCTACACTTAAGGTTGGGAACATGGGTTTTATCGCTCTCACATTGTCAGTGTTTCTGCTGATATTAAACTAAACATGTAGAAAGGCATAATGTCCTTAAAATGATTTGAAACAGATATCTTGCTAAATGTCTTCTTGGCCATTGCTGTGGATAACTTGGCAGATGCTGAAAGTCTAAATACAGCTCAGAAAGAAGAAGCAGAAGAAAAGGAAAGGAAAAAGAATGCAAGGTAAAACAGTTCAGGCATGTTGAATGATCAGGAGAAGGGAAGAAGAAAGTAAGGAATTCGTTCTTTCATAAGGATTTTCTTCACATAAACGCCTTCACCATCTTTAAAATTTACTGGACCCAGGAAAAAAGGAAAGAATTTACCTTGACATTAAAGTAACACAATTTAAAATAACTTTAGATAAAATTTGGCTAGTGACTGGGAAAATAGGGTCATCTAAGGACATAAGTCAACTGATATTTAAACATTACAATGGTAGGATTTATTGCACAATTAGAACACGAATGTAGTTGTTCTTGCCAGTGAACAACTCCCTGTGGAATCAGTTCTGTAACCCTTATATAGAGAAGACAACAACCTTCTGTGAGATCAGTGCATGCATATTGAAGTCAGTGCAAGTTGTTATTTGAGTCCAAGGGCACAATTTATCCACCTAGAAAGGAGTAATGATCATGCATTGAATTTTTGGGGGATTAACTTCTGCAATATATTCAAAATGACAATGTTTTAAATGGATGTAGTACATTAAAATGCAATAGATTTTATTGCTCTGACATCTACTGCTTCAAATATAATTTTAAGTACTTTACAATATGTTTAGGCATACTCTTAACTTTTCAAAGAATGGGTATAGTTCACTTTAAGTATTCTGTCTTTACATTATTTGCATTGCATTTTTAAAATTATTTTTATATTTTTTTTGTATTTTGTAGAAAGGAGAGTCTGGAAAATAAAAAAAGTGAGAAGGCAGAAAGTGACCAAAAGAAGCCCAAGGATAGTAAGGTGTTTATTTTTTAAAATGTGTCTTTTGGAGAAGCAGTTTCACTAATTCTAAGGAGTACTTTTCAAGCCTTCTGTGCTTTGTGGTTTGTTTTATGAATTCATCATCCATACATTTTTTTTCTAGGCAAAGGAAACTGTTCTGATCCTTTGCATCCTTGCAGAATCTCTTAGCCCAGAAAATCCTTTTGATTTTGATATCCTGAGAAGGGGAGCGCTTAGAGCATGCAATAATTATTTGACATTACCTTAGGATCCCTGTATCTGTTTTGCCAGATAAATCCAATGAAAAAGATTAGTGAATGATAAATTCTTATTTGAAATTTCAAATGTTTTTAGTATATTTTTTAACCAAATCTGTTGGTTATATACTGATTGTAATATACACAGCTAGAAGTATGTGGATATTATACAAAAATAATCTTATAAAAATATGTGTTAAAATGTCAGTTTTCTTCCACTGTTCTCTGTATTACACTGTTTCAAAAAAACTCAAAGTAAATATGGGGGTGACTTGACTTCAGAGGCTCAGTTATTTTGCTTTCTAGTAAGTTTTATACACAAAGAAAGCTATACAAAAAATTATTTTTCTCCTTGTACATCTCTTTCTTTGCCATAGGTGACAATTGCTGAATATGGAGAAGGAGAGGATGAGGATAAAGATCCCTATCCACCCTGTGATGTACCAGGTATGTGAATACCAGCCAAAAGACAAGAGCATTTAAGTTTGCTAAAATATCCTAAACTAGCTCTCACTGAACACTGCATCAATTCATTTGAAGTTGGTGAAGTTGTGCTCTGTTACTACTGGATAAATGGATCTGTAAGTTAAGTATGACCTTTTTCTTCAGTTCCCTAGACTGTACATACATGAGAGTTAATACAGTGAGCCTAAAAACTGCCAGGCTTATTCTTATCTGGATGTGAGAGCAAATTCTAAAATGTTTGGCAAAAAAAATGAGATTCCAGGGCTGAAGATGTTCAGTTACTTTTATTTTAGCTTCTTCTAGTCCAGCGGACATGTCTATCTAATAAAAAGGTCTGACTGATTGTCTGGACACCTAATACAGAAATCTGATTCTACCCTACCTTTTGAGTGTCTTAATATCCTTTTTATATTGTGGAGCCCAGAACTGCACACCATATTAAAGGTAAAGCCGCACCAACAATATGTGAGAGAATTACCTCTTTTGACTGACTGGCTATGCTGTGTTTCCAAATGCAGTTTGCCCTCCTGGCTGCCAGGGCACACTGCTGACTCTTTCATGCTCAGTTTGCTGTCACCCAGCACTCCCAGATCTCTTTTTGTTGAGCCACTTGTATCCCAATCTTTACCTGTGTCTGGTATTGCTCTGTCCCAGTGTTGTGTCAGTGCCAGGCACTTACCCATACTGAATTTGATCCCATTGCTGATTGTCCAATGTTCCAGTCTATCTAGATCCCTCTGAAATGCCTATTATCCCTCCAGAGAATCAACAGCACCTCCCAGTTTACTGTTGTCAGTGAACTCACTAAGAGTCATTCCACTTCTGCATCCAGATCACTGATACATGCTTTGAACAGAACCAGCCCTAGGTCTGTGTCCTGGGGAACACCACTAGTGACCAGCTGCCAACAAGATGTAGCCACATTCACAACACTTCTTGTAGATGGGTATAGCGTTGCCTAGCTTCCAGTCAGCAGGAATCTCTGCCAATTCCTTCAGTACTCTGGGGTGAATCTCTCAGGAACTTTCATAGATTCATTCATATTGGTTCATAGATTTTTAGAACTGTGGTATGCATATATAATTTTCCAGTGAGCCATATATATTTTAATAAAATTGTATATTGTTATGAAAAAAAAACTAGTCTTTTTTCTTTCATAGTAAAAGAAATGTTTAATTTAAAGTAGGTGAAGATGAAGAAGATGAGGAGGAAGAACCAGAGGTACCAGCAGGCCCCCGTCCCCGTAGAATATCAGAACTAAATATGAAGGAGAAGATAACACCAATCCCTGAAGGGAGCGCCTTCTTCATTTTCAGCAGCACCAATCCGTAAATACCATTTTGAAAAATACTGTTTTAACCTCTCAGGTGGTGAAGGAGCATGCTTCCTTGCAGTGAGGTGTGAGGTTAAGGATAGAATTTCAGTATCTGTTTGCAGCAAGATAGAAATTGTTGTATCTCCTACAATTTTCTAAATGACTTGGTAAATAAAACTGATTTGTTATATACATTAATTTGCTTCCCACTGTCAAAGATGATAGCATCTTTTACATATAGACTATCAAGCCTCCATCAGGGCGAAAAGTATTCTGTAATGTATATTAGCTATTTATTGTTAGGCACTGGATACAAAACGTGTGACATGATATGAGCGTTTTTTACATGAGATAGGATTCCTAGAAACCCTAGGTAGAATAGTACCTTTTTTGTAGCTGTAAGAGTGAGAAGAGAGAGTAAGAAAGAGAGAAAGTTAAAAGGAGAAAAGATGTACATATTCCTCTTAGGGGGACAGTATTTTTCCACATTCAAGCAAACCCTGAAGAGAAAGACAATTATTTAACAACAACAACAACAACAAGAAAAAAGTCAAGAAAAATAGTTGGGAAGGAACAGGAACCTTTCACCAGAATCTAACTCCAAAGCATTTCAGGTTCTATAGTGATGAAGAAAGCAAGCTTCAATAGTCAGTAAAACTGATTGTTGGACAGAAGTGAACAAGTGAACAAGTGAACAAAATTCATTTCCTATAGGACTGAAGATAGCTGATACATTCATGTATAGCAATTTTATCAGTAGTCTTAGAAAGGATTTTAAAAGTTATTTGGTATGGGAAAATACTGTCTTCTCAGTAGTAGAGGTTACCACAGGTAAGACTAAAAGACAGCATGAGGATCAGGATACAATATTTTGGTCTTGTATCTTATTGATTACATGGGCTATCTAACATTCCTCAGAATTTTCAGACAAACTGGAAAGACATCTATTTAAGCTGTTAATTTTAAGAAAACACGCTGAATGCAAAAATCACTAGATCTGAACATATCAAATTCTTTTTGACTTAAAGTAGTTCTATAGCTTCTCAGGCCAAAATTTTGCTTAACTGAGATACACTGTATGCTGATAATCTACTTAACAGTAGAATAAATTTTTACTAAGAACCTCCTTATTCTTCAGAAGAATATTTCAGACAACTTTGGTGTTCAACAGCTAAGAACCCAATCCTGCCTTTTTGCAAATTTAATCCTAGACCAACTCCAGTGAAGTGTTCAGTAACCTTGGTCTCAGCAATTTTAAGCATATGTGTAGTTCCACTTCATCATATTTGGCCAAATCGTAGTAGCTCTGTAATATTCAACACCCACTTGTCCTATAATTCAGCAAAAAAGAGTCTTCCCAGGAGATTCTAATTTAAGTGGAGTCTTTAAGTAACACAATGAGATTTCTATCCTAAACATTTCACCAAATTAGTATTTTTAACAGCTTTATTAAATGCCAAATCAAACTTGGGATCTGAAATGACTTAACATGTGGCATTTGGCCCATTTGACATTGTCCTCTATGTACATGCACAGTGGTACAAACACTGGAACTTCTAATGACATTTAAAACCCATTCTGCTGGGAAGTTATTTCTCTTAGATTGCTTTGTTAAGTGCGCCTTCACAACAGGTGGACTGGATTTTGAATTTTTTAAATTTTTATAAGGCATAACAATAGCTTCAGGATCTGCTTTTTAGCTGATGATGGTTCCCCAGTTCCATTGGCATTGGCAAAGTAATAGAAAATCTGTATTAGTGATCTGCTGAATTCTATTTGCACATGAAGTATATTTTTATATTTCTTCTGCAGAATTCGAGTGGGATGCCACAGGCTCATCAATCATCACATCTTTACCAATCTCATCCTTGTCTTCATCATGCTGAGCAGTGTTTCCCTAGCAGCAGAAGATCCAATTCGCAGCCACTCTTTTAGAAATAATGTAAGCCCATCATTTTTATGTCTGAAGATAAATATTTCCTCACAGAATAACAATCCTTTGGGACTATTGCTTGAGTTTTGATTTTCAAGTTAAGAAACTTTGCTTTTACTTTTTCAAGTCATACACAAGCATTGTTTCTTAGTGGTGAGGCAAGCCTATTAAGTTATTGTGAGTTGTGCATGCTTTTGATTAGGTATGAAATAGCTGAGATGATGGAACTAGTAATAGTCTGTGGGGACTTGGACATAACTTCCAGTCCTGTCCTGTCTCATTATTGGTTTGCAGAGATAGCCATAGAGAAAACTCTTCCACATCTTCCAAGATGGGTCTACTAGGTCAGTAAAGGCTCCAGTAAAGAACTACTGGGGCAGTTACATGGGAAGTGCAGCTTTTGTTTATCCTCTCCTTCTAGAGAAAAGCTTGAGAATTGAACTCATAATATTAAAAAACAAACAAACAAACAAAACACATAACAGGACATCAACGGAAAGCCCTTCCAAAATCAATCAAAAAATAAATACATGCATTATCAAAATTCCAAACTTTTTTTTTTTTTCCAAGGTGTATGAATGGCCACAAGTTGACAGTAGGCTGGGTGCTAATCTTCTGTATCTGAAGAATTACCATTTTACTTCAGATTTTGTGTTCAGTTTTGATACATATCTCAGTGCTGCCCCACTTTGGCTTTGCATTTTAGAATACTCACAGGGTTCACAAACTAGATTCCTTCCAGATGAAGATGAGATTTACACTCCTTTTGGCGTCAACTGGCGCCATAACTTCTCAGGCCAAAATGGCCATCTTATATAATGGAGATACATTCTACTCAAATCATCTGCTTTGAGGTAAACCTAAGCTGAGAAATGCACTTGAACCACTAATAGGACTTGAGTTCATGTAATGAGAACAGACATATATGTAGGTGAAATGGAGGTATTGGTCCTCACTTACATCCTCTGCTCTGCTCTTGTGTCCCTGTAGTTCTTGCTGTGTTACATGCAGCCTCTGAAGTCTTCTTTGGACTGTTGACATTCTCTGAATATTTTTTCAGTAACATTATTAAAAAAAAACAAAACAAAACAAAATCAAAAAAAACAACCAACCACCACCAACAACAAAAAAGCACAAAACTAATACTTTCTCCAAAGGTAGAACTAGATCAAAGCACAAAGGCACGCTGTGTACTGTTCAGCGGAGCCATGTTGTTTCCATATCTGTAAATCTGAACAAGTGCAATCTTACAAATATATCATGATAGTGGATGAACAAAACAGACCTGGTGAGCAATACTGAAATAGTTACTGTAGAAATGGTTTGAAGGGCTGGTATTTTTTTTGTAACCAGAGGAATGCTAGGAAGATGCAATTCCAGAGTGGTGGTAATTGAAGAGGTTATTCCTTTTCCTTTACCTAACAGGTAAAATGTTTGAATGATTTTGAGAAGACATTGCCCTCTTGTAAAAATTCACAAATGCACCAGACTTGCATTTTTTTTCTGCTGCACCACAGGCAATGTTTTCCTTGTTTCCTTCAAATGGCCAACTTGGCAAGGGAAAGAACTTCCTGTTGAATGACAGAATAGAGAGCTTAGCATTGAGTTTGTGAGTTGGTAGCTGGAAGACTCAAAAACACTGAAAGATATGATGCAAAAGTTGGCGGTTAAGTTTTTACAAGGATGGCCTCTGCTTATTCCAGCTGGCGCTCAAGTTCAATATTATGGCCTTCTGGTGAGTGTTCATGCTATCCCTTCTGCAAATATCAATGCTTCTAGACAGTCCTTGCTTTTTGTGATGAATATCCTGTGTTCATCACTGAAGGTTGTGGTAAGATTCCAAGATTAATGGACAGCACATGGGCTATGTCATTGAGGGATCAAGACTTGCCACTGCTGAACATGGTAGCTAACCATCATGATGAGTCTCAGCTTCTGTGTCTCTGCTGAAATTCATGACATAGTACAGGAGTGAAAAAAAAAAAGTTTAACAAAATGGAATGTCTTTAAAACATGTCTTTTAACTCTAGAATTAATTCCTTACTGCTAATTTTTGTTGAATGGCTTTTATATATGACTCTTTCAGCCTCGGAAAGGTACAGAAGGATATATTCTTCATCTGAATATAGGAAAGAAAACATCCTTTTATCTGATCTAATAGAAATATTTCCTTTGTGTGTTGTCTCTTTATTTTATTCCTTCTTCCCATTTTACTATCTGCTGCACCACAGGCAATGTTTCTGTGCACAACTGACTGCTGGGTGAATTGCTGGATCCTTGAAACTAAATTAGTGCAGTACTGCAGTGTATGGCAATAACTAAATTAGGTGCTAGCAGTACTGCCACCTTGAAAGGGTGAAATCCTGGTTCTATTGAAATATATGGTAATGTTCCTGTTGACAATAGAGAATTCAGTATGAAATACAAAATATTTTTAAAAGTTTGCATGTCACTGTGCATGTCACAGGTATGGGTTCTTCTAAATTTCCAGGGGAAAAAAAAATAAATCACTGCTATATTTTCCAAGTTTCAGAAAAAAATAGATGCAGTGCTGATTTTAATTATTTCAGTTATTCATTAATTTGCTTTGTGACACTATAGCTCAGACTATACAGTAACGACAACAACAAAAAAAAGCTAACTTAATAGTAAACGTCTCTCTTGTTTCTAAGATCATGTATCTCTGTGCAAGGCTTAAGAAAGTACCTGTGAAAGCTGATAGAGTACCTGTGAGAGCTGTGAAAGTCTCACTTACTGGGTCTTTGTGGTAAAATCTCATATCTAACTATGGTGACATCTGATAATTTTTTATGTAAACAAAAATGGTTGCACAGTAGCTGGTATTTTAAACTACATTGACTTAATTCCCTGGTTTACCTATTAAGATTTCTTCAGGTGTTGTTGTGCGTGTGGTCTAAATTGTAAAAAATTATTAATAGATGGATTTCTTACTGTGGCACATATTATACCTTGCAGATACTTGGTTACTTTGACTATGCTTTCACAGCCATCTTTACTGTTGAAATCCTGTTAAAGGTAATGCATTGTTAATTGATCCTTGTTAGCTCAAAAGCAGCTTTAGCAATAATGTTTGTAACTTTTTGTTTACCTTCCAGATCCTAGGGTATGCAGATTATGTCTTCACTAGTATGTTTACATTTGAGATCATTTTGAAGGTAACAGGTTATTAAAGGAAGTTTGTTTTAAAGGATTTTCCTTGTGTGTCACCTGCCAAGAAAAGGCACTTGAAATGTTCTTCGCCTTTTCTCTAAGCTATCAAAGCTAAACTTTTTTTAAACAAGAGGATTTTTTTTATTTGACAGTTTCTTATAGTTTTGATTGGTTATTTTTTGCCATTGGATGCATGTAGAAGCTGACTTTTTATCATTACATCAATTTAGTAATTCATTTTTTTTACCCTTTTAAAACTTACAGTTGTCAGAAAAGGGAAAAAAAAAAAAAAAAAAAAAAAAACACAAAACACTGCGCATGAGCTTTTCCTTCTCCCTGCTCTGGCATTTCTAAAAAGAGTTGATCAGTCTTGTAAGGAGGGAGCATGTGATTTCTCGTTTCTCTTGCTGAACTATATTCACAGAGCTAAAATAGATAACTATTTTCTTGCAATAGGACTTGCAAGATATCTTACATTTATCTATCTGTATACTAAGATACTTTGCATTTATCTTATCTTGGGCATACATTTAAATACACAGAAAGGCATAAATATGCTTGCTTAAATGTATTACCCATGCATGAGTTCAAAATTGGCATTTTAATGTACAGTTTGTGTACAGATTATTGAGAATATCCATTGGGGTTACTCAGACTTTACACGCGTAAATCTTATTTTGGCAAAGAAGCTGTATAACTGAGCATGTTAGTTTCACGTGGGGAAAATGCTGAACAAAGCAATAAAAGTATATATATATATATATATTTAATTTGTTATTTTGTATGATTCTTAAAAATTTAATTCAGTGCATATTCAACGTAAGCTTTTGCTTGAGTAACCCCAATCTATACAATACAATTTCTGGTGCACTAAGAATCTGTACATAAACTTTACATTTCCAGTTGAGAATTAAGCTTAACAAAATCTCTTCTCCCAGCTTTTGCTCATATTGCTGTGCATACTTGTCACAATGAGATTTGATTAATACTAATTGATGCAATATTTGGGCTGTTTACAAGATAAGCTGTACTGTAAGTAGTAGGCTATATTTATGCTTGCAGATATTCTCACAGACTTCTGTTTATCCCCTTTTCATTTTCAGCAGTGAGGAACTTGCTAAAAAAATGGTAAATCTTGTAACATTTTTAACATTCTAGAAAAAAAAAATCCAGATTTTTCACATCAAGAGAAAAATAAAGCAAAGAAAAGAATGAAGCACTGAAATGTTTTGTAGTACTAGAACAAACCAATTCCAAACTCTGAATTCGAGAAGCCCTACTAAATATGTTGGTGCTAGTTCTGTGGCAGAAGAGAGTCAATAGACCGCCCACATGCTCAGAGCAGCAGTTTGTGTAGCTTCTGTAGTTCCAGTTGTGTTTCTCCACAGACAGAGGAATTATAAATTCTGGCATAAACAAGCATAACTGGATAAATTAAGAAATGTTCCTGAAATGTAACTGCAAAAGATTCTGACTTTGAGTTATTCTAGGGAAGTAGGAAGCACCAGAGCTACTGAAATCTGGCATTCTTAAATACTACAAAGAAACAAGGAGTCCAATCAGAGCCCAAAATGTTGATGCTCCTGACTCCACTTTCTCCAGGAAGCTCTTCCTGGCAGTGCACTCACATGTATTTATAAAGAAAGTAAGTTGTACCATAAAAAATATAACGGACAGTACATATACATGCCTGCTTTGCTAACATGTCTCAGATTCTGGCTTTGCTTGCTTGTGGCTTGAGTCCTCCATGTTTTCCCTGCTGGGTTCTGCGTTGGGATTTTGACAGTATCCAAGTCATACAGAAGCTGTGTGTGTTCTACAGGGAGCAAATTCAAGATCTGTAGGAAAAATAGCATTCCTTAATTTCCAGTCAAAAAATATGTGAAACCGATAAGAAGATAACCAGTGGCATTATTATCAGCTGCAGAGGAGAAATTTGCACATGTCCAAAAAAGCAAGTATTAAAATAGAATAACTCACATGTGAAGAGTCTCCCTGTGCTCTGTTTTATTGCCTTCTCTGCAGACATGAGGATTTCCACATTATATGCTGTTGAGGTTATGAGTGAGGATATGAGTAACAGAAAAGCTGCAATATCAGTTTAAAGCATTTAAGAATTCTCTTATGTAACCCCTTCATAGCTTTCAAATCCAGTTTACCATCCTGTTTGTAGTACTTGGCAAATGTGAAAATGTCAGAGTGAAGGCCAGGTTACGGCCCTGTGCTTTTAACCTTGCCCCAGCTGTGCTAATCCCACACCATTTAAACCAATACCCATTGGTGTGGAATTACAGGCAGGAGGAAAAGAGCAACAGTGGTGGTGTCCTGGATGCTCAGCTCAGTGAGTGCTCTCCAGCATTGTCTCTTCTGAAGGCTGTGTGGCCATACTCACTACCTCGTTTGTTTTAGGGTTTGCCTTGACCTGAGCAAAGGATAGAATGGCTTTTTTGTAGAACAGTTTTAGTCAAATGCTTCTGCTGGGATTTGATATGATGGAAGCATGAGTTTCCATATACAGATGGGATGATGAGTACTTCAGCTGTATTTCTACATCCATATATTTTAACATTCATAGGAGTATTTATGTTAAATACAGTTAAATGATCACATACTACAGTGTGAATGGATGTTTGTAGAGAGATGTAGGCTTGATACATCTTTATATAGTTATATTAGGGTTTAACTCCCACTGATTTTAATTAGTTTAATAACCACACTCTATACAATTGGAAGTGAAGTGAGCTAGGACTGTCTGCAGGTTGTTCCACTGCCCTGAGGAATCCTAGTCTGCAGTACCACAAACAGCATGTACACTGTCTTCCAAGATACCCACTCATTATCTTAACCCATCTCCAGCGTGAAAGAGAAAAGTAGCAATGTGATGATGCCTTGTGACAGCCTTGTACTGCTTCTGCACCAGATTTTACTCTCAGGATTTTGCAATACATTTTCAGCTCCTTCAATTCTCAAGACAAAAAAGAATGATTAAGAGTCAGAATCTGGTCCTTATAGTTTAGTGAGTGTGGGAGTTTTATGGTTCTTTTAGTTATTTTTCTGTAAAGGCCCAATCAGTTCAGTGAAATCAGTCCTTATATGAGTACAACATTTGTTGATATCAGAAACAATTAACATATTTGCTTGTGTTGCTTGAGCAGAATATTGTGATTTAAATGAAAGTTAGTTAACACACGTAGTGGGATTTTTTATCTCAGTTCCTTTTAGAAAGGTGAGATGCTATTGTATGCATTCACACTCTAGGCGAGTGTCTTGTAAACAGCCTAAATGTCACTTTGAATAAATTGAAATGGAGAGTAAACATGTAACAATTCTGTTTTTAGATGACAGCTTTTGGAGCGTTTCTTCATAAAGGGTCCTTCTGCAGGAATTATTTTAATTTGCTGGATTTGCTGGTTGTGGGTGTTTCTCTGGTATCATTTGGTATTCAGTAAGTATTATATGTGAACAATTTATTTTTGCTTTGGGGTTTTATGCTGAAATCAATCTTCCAGCTCCTTTTGTTCTGCCATTGCATGTAGGTGTGCAAAATCAGTATTCAGGGGTGGGAATGGGAAGAATGGAGAGTTACATGGAGAGTGTTGTAACTCATTACTAATACAGGTTGGAAATAAATTCCTGCTTCCTGCTATTGCTAAGAGAACAGGGAAGAGCACCACGACACTATTGTTCAGCAAGTAATTCCTGGAATTTCAGGAGGTTTGTTAGTTTCAGAAGGTTACTCTGTGCTATTGCTATTGCCATATGTACAGTCTAGTTCTATGAGCTTGTTCTTTCGGCATTGCCCTCCTGGGCTATGTAACCTGACAGAATTTGAAGGGGAGAAAAGTTGTACCTTTATCAGGACTGAAAGTGGTAGTGAAGATATGTTTTGCTTCCTTCTTTTGGATGAGGCAGAACATAATAATAGTCTGAAGGTGCTTACTAATTCACTGCATGAGCAGTTGTGCCTCATTCAGAATCATCTATGAAGCCTTTACTGACCTAGAAAAGAGCAAGAGCTGGGTGTCCATTAGCTGCTTCCCGATTTGTATTCTGCTTGTACTACCAATTACGCAAGCTTTCAGTTTCACAACATGTTCTTTAAAGGGCTTTCTACTACTATTTTATTTCAAAATACAGTTGTAGATACTGAAAGAGAATGTGAGTTGAATGAGATCTTTTTAAATCCAGTTGGTTGGAAATTAAGGTATTTGTGGATTTACAGGACTTAAACACTGTATTTGAAAGAACTTGTCAACATGGAAAAAATGCTTTGGGGAGTATGTTTCTCCTGACCAAACTTAATTATATTAGTGTCAGACAAGATTCTGAGCTGTTAATTCACAAGTTGCTCCAGAAATCAAAATTATCCTTATGGTATTTATGAGGTTGATATTATTTTCTAGTATCAGTAAGAGATCAGTAAAGAAGTGCTTCAAAAAATCTTGTATGCTAAATTTTGATATATATTTTTTTAATTTTCATGTATAAGGAAGTTGCAAGAACATTGTTATTAGAAGTAAAATCAGTTTCCTTAAAAGTAACAGAATTTTTATTTTTTTTTTCCCCCAGATCCAGTGCTATCTCAGTTGTGAAGATCCTCAGAGTCTTACGAGTCCTGAGGCCGCTAAGGGCAATAAACAGAGCAAAAGGACTTAAAGTATTTATTTTTATCTTTTTCTAAGTTACGTTTCTGTTGACCTTATTCTTCAATACTGCCTCAGGTTAAAAAGTCTAGCACAAGAAAAATTCCCTGGAGAAGGTCACAGGGCAACACCATAAATCAGTTCCTGATTCTTAAATGTACTAGGCCAGATGGTGCCCACCATTACAGCAGTTTACATGTGGAGGAACACCACTGCCATGGAGAGATTTGACCACAATGCTTGCTGTGAACCAACATGTCACAGCAATATTTCCATTGTTGTTCCACAGCTGCTAGGTCTATCTCAACAATCTTACAAATTTAGAAAACAAGTTTATGTGTGGTAGCACGTATAATACTGACAATGCAAAAATGGTAGTTTTAAAAAGTAATCTAAATGTGATAAAATAGGTGTTTACTCTTCTGGTAGTATTTTGTGATGCTATTAAATAACAAGTTGTGTTTAATTTTTTTCTTTCTTTCCAGCATGTTGTTCAATGTGTCTTTGTGGCTATTAGAACTATTGGTAATATCATGATTGTTACAACTCTGCTGCAGTTCATGTTTGCTTGCATTGGAGTGCAGCTCTTCAAGGTAAGCAAACTTTCAAAATCTGCACTTCATCAAGAAGAGCAAAGCTGAGCTGAATTCTGTGTGGCTTGCTGCTGGAAGTGGGCTGAACCAGACTTAGTGTAAATGCATTTTCTTTGTTCTGCATTTTATCATTGTTTTTCTTGTTCTATACATAGGGAAAATTCTACAGATGCACTGATGAGGCAAAACAGAATCCTGAGGAATGCCGGTGAGAATTCCTTGAGCTAAGAAAGTGGTTTTTTGTTTCTTAATAATTTAAAATGTAGCAAGCATGTGTGACAGGCAGTTCAGGGTTTGAATAAATTGGAATTGCTATCTTGAAATCCAGCAGAAAAATTAAAAAAATAAAGGCAGTCAACACAGGTTATCAAGGGAATGAAATGAGCTTGCTGATGGAGTAAAATGAACTATTTTGAATAGAGCATGGAATAATCTGAGGTCTAATTTAATATTTCACTAATGGCAGTTTGTTTCCTTCTCTTTCCTACAGGGGGATATACATTGTTTATAAAGACGGAGATGTTGATAATCCAATGGTCAAAGAGAGGGTCTGGCAAAATAGTGATTTCAACTTTGACAATGTTCTGTCTGCTATGATGGCCCTTTTTACAGTGTCCACTTTTGAAGGCTGGCCAGCGTGAGTGAATTCTCCATGTTTTCACATTACTATTGAGACAGATTTTCCAGAAAAGTTCTCTATCATTTACTGGGCATTCAGGGGTAACAAAACAGTCAAGCAATAATCAGGCTTCCTACAGTAAATGAAATCAATTTAAAATTAGGAGCACAATATAGGCTAACTTAAAAGTACTGTATAATCTCTGAATATAATAGTTTTTTGTGTGTGTGCCTGTTCATACCAATGGAATCTTGTGTTTGATATTGTTTGATTCCTAATCTTTCAGCTACTTCTGCTATAACAGTCTGTTCTTTTAATTCTACTGATAAGTAATCCTTTTTGATATTTATCCATCATGCAATTTAAATAATACTAAATAATATGAAAATTTTAGGTGTTTGAGTAAATCTACGATAAAACTAGGAAGTAGTACAATGCATAAAGAAACCCTGGAAGAGCAAGCTACCATTTGGTATTTACCTAAATGAGTAGTCTTCCAGGACAACATTATGTGGAAAAGCAAAAACCAAAAACCAAGCTGGTCATTGTTTTAATTATTTTGAAACAACCAAAAACAACAACAAAAATCACCAAACAAAGCATTGTGTGGTGTGCTTCTGTTTGGTATGTTTGTACATGTTGGCAGTACTCAGAGAAAGATAATAATAAACAGGAGGCCACTTGTGAAATCTGTCCTCAGAGTCTGCATATTTTACTCTCTTTTGACATTTTAATGATAACTTTTTTCTTTTCTTTTTCTTTCTCCCTGCTCCCTTCCCCTTCCTTCCCCCCCTCCCCCCCAGGCTGCTGTACAAAGCTATTGATTCGAATGGCGAGAATGTAGGACCTGTATACAACTATAGAGTGGAGATATCCATTTTTTTCATCATCTATATCATCATTATTGCTTTCTTTATGATGAACATATTTGTTGGTTTTGTCATTGTTACATTCCAAGAACAAGGAGAACAAGAATATAAGAACTGTGAGCTGGACAAAAATCAGGTTAAAATAAATAAACTCTTCTAGTTCTTAAAAGAATTTTTTGTTTATTATTATTACTGTTACTACTATTTTTGCACAAAGAGCTTCTTTCCTGCTTTGGGCCAGAAGAGGGCATCAAACACATATCTTAGGTTAAAAAAAAAAAAAAAAAGAAAAAAAAAAGTAGCACAGCACTAGTAAATACTATCAATTAATATTCAGGTTACTATATGTTCCTCTTCCTGTAATCCCAGCATCTCAGTCTTTTTGTTGTGAAGGTTGTTACCTTAAGCTTGATAATTTAAATTGACTTCTTAGTGTCTCACTTCTTGGCGTCATGTTAGGAAGAATAACAGCCAGTTTATCCATAGGCAGAGGTTGATTACACATTAAGAACAAGAATATAAAAGTTACATGCTGAATAGTCTGAAAATGTTCAAAGAAAGTGAATGTGTTCAAAACATTCTAATCTTATTTTTTCCTATTTATTTAGAAATTCACAGGTGATACATTCAAATAAAAAACCCGTCCCCTTTTATTGTTTAATCTTTTGACTGAGAAACTTGTCAGTCACCAGTCATGATTTTTCAGGGGATCATGTTTGACTGTAGCACAGCAGTATTTATTCAAACATAGGTAAGCATGAAACCTAGGGGAGCATTCATACTGCATTTTCTGCTCCCTTAGTAAGCCTTTGTAAGCATTCTTCAAAAGACTAGTGGAAGGTCCAGTTTATATGAAGATTTCAGGTAGTAATGGGGTTGGAGAAATGGGGTTGGAAAGGAGTAATGGGGTTGGAAAATCTGTGATGTTCCTACATACGTGACATGCTTTTGTTGGGCAATTTAGTAGCTGTTTTACTAACTGTAGGATTTTATGCTGTGCAGTTACACTGGTGTTTGAACACTGTAAAGATGAAGCACGACTTACAGACTAATTAATAGTCATCATTATTATTATTCACTGAGATTCCTTACAGTGAATTCTTGATGATTCATTAGTATTACGATGGCTGGGTATCAGTATGACGATATGTGTAAAATACAGTGCATATAGTACTATATACTATACATATGCATATACATACATATTGTCTGTGGTCTGCTACTACTTTGTACAAAGGTGAACCACTTCAGAATTTCCATGAGCACTCTGATTCTGTGTATGCAACTGAGTAGTGTATATGATCAGATATAGTTGTAAATGAATGAGGATTGGTAAGCTACTTGATTACTTTGTTGGTACATAATAATAAAAATACTTAATACTGGTACTTAATTGGTATTATTAAGTTGGTACTTAATAATAAGAAATCTATGTAAAGTAGATGAACTGCATGTTTCTAAGATTTACATTTAACACTTTGTACTTATGATTAATTATATTCCAATTTGATTCACTGTTAGGTATGGTCTGACAATTTTTGATGTGCTTGTTTTTACAGCGTCAGTGTGTGGAATATGCCTTGAAAGCACGTCCTCTTCGTAGATATATTCCAAAAAATCCTTACCAGTACAAGTTCTGGTACGTGGTGAATTCTACTGGATTTGAATACATCATGTTTGTCCTCATCATGCTGAACACACTTTGCCTGGCTATGCAGGTAGGAAAACCAGAAGCTCTTCTGAAGCCAGTGGCATGAATTGCAAGGAAAGATGTGGGTGATACGCTGCCTTTCATTTACAGCAACTTGTGTTTTTCTATAAAGTGAAATTAAAACAAACTTCTCATCATAGTACTCTTCTGTGACGCGTGCTAATCTGTGCATTAGTTCTCTGAAATAAGTGTTTGAAAGAGCTTGATGCGGATGGTCTTCCTAACATAATGAAGCTCATTGATCTATATTTGATCATTGTAATTTAATGTAATTTATAAATGTCTATTCCCAAGGTTGTCCGTGTGCAAGAAAATGTGAAGGGAATGTAAAAGCCAAATTTTGTTAGCAAACATTTCTCTGTTAGCAAACATTTCTCTGAATCCCTTAGACTCTTTCATCTAATAAAAGATATCTTATCTTATTCTTTTATGCAATGCCTTTAAGCATTACTTCATCCCTTTGTAACTTCTGTACTTGTTAAGTCTGTGTTTCATATATGTACTAACCCATATTTCCACTACCTATGTCTGTACCTTCTTCAGAAGTTTAAAGACTTCATATATGAAGCAACTCTAGAATTGTATAATGATGCAAATGTGCAAATATGTTTTTTTATATTAGCTCTATGTTTGTATATATTTGGGTGTATTTTTGCACATGCTCTTTTTGTCTGCTTACCTTTTCCTGCTTTTCCTGCATGCTACATCCACTGTTTTTCACCAGCTGCTTCTCTTATCTACTTTTCCAAGTCGTTTCTTTCTTTTCCCCAGTACTCTTGATTTTGATATGAAAAAGAATCTTCCAATTCCAATCTATATACCCATTCTACTTACTTTTTGCAATAAATTTGCATGCACTGTTATGCTCTTAAATATATCACTCCTATACAATATGTTTTTCTGTGACTAACATACTGCAGGCTTTTTAAGCAGATATGGCATAAGGCTATGTAATTTAAAACCTGGGGAAATATCTGGGGATCTTTAAAAGATTTGGGAAATTGCTTTTGTCTAATACTCCTTTTTTGGATGAACACAGTCCTCCTCAAAACTGTCCTAAGTGTTCCCAGATGTAGAGGAATGCCAAATTTGTTCCACTCAGTGCCTGAACAGAATAGATTTAAATAGCCATTTTTGGACAGAGATATTCAGCTAGTCTTGTGTGTATATAGGTGTGAATCAAAATATACTATTAGAAAATATTTTCCTGTGCTCCATTGTTGCCAACTTTTCATATTCTGCCTTACTTTCATTTATTATTTTAAAACCTTTACTTTTAAATATGTCATATTTTTCATTCACAGCACTACGGACAGTCTAAGCTGTTTAATGATGCAATGGACATTATGAATATGGTTTTCACAGGAGTGTTCACTGTTGAAATGGTTTTGAAACTGATTGCATTCAAACCCAAGGTAAGTTTTAGACATGATTTAATTAGGTCATCACTACAAGAATTAAGTGTAATGTAAGTTTCACACTAGTTATGTATTATTCAAAGAACAAAAGGAACCTACATGTTTCCCACAGTTATCTATGAGTGAAATCATAATTGAAATGTTAATCTGATCGTGTGTATATAAGTAACTCCAGGAAATGAAATGCAGATATCGGAGCAAACATTACAAGGTGGTTGATGAGATCTGGAATATTCTGAAGTAATGAAAATGTCCCTTTCTAAATCAGATGAATCATTTCCTGATATAAGCACTTCCACATCTCCTATTCATAATACTACATTCATAACCTTAAACCAAGTTAACTTCCAGTAAAGACCTGTATGTTATGTTATGATATATAACCTTTTCAAAATGCAATGCAAAATTTTTTCCTTACTTTTAAAAATATAGCCAGGTACTACAAACATACACAGAAATAACTGGGACATTCAATAGCCTTTTTAGATTTTAATGTTTTCAGTTATATGCACACACCATTTTGTAGAGGGCCCCACACTGAGCAGTTTGGATTCCTTGCCTTAAGAGGGACACTGTCAAAATAAGGAATGCAAACACATCTTCAAACGCAGATTTGCAAGAGACACTGATAACAATTAATAATGACTTAAAAAACAAACAAAAAAAAACCTTCAATGCAGTCTTGTATGTTCAGTTCTAATACACCATTAATGACAGTGCAAAAGTTAATGACAGGCTAAACTAAATTTTGTTTTCATTACAATGAAATCAATACTAATTCTGGTGTTATATCTATGTAAATAAGTGAAGTGGGGTCACTCAATATACGTGGAATTTGAAGGAAGTCAGTCGTGCCATTTGAGGTTTCCTGATCTCACCATCAAGGCTTGTATTTTTCATTTTCCATCGCCCTTCTCTTAAAGTACCCAGGATATCTGTATCTGTAATTGAATGTAAACTGCACTTCCTTTGTTTTAAGTAGTGAACTGGATGATTGTAGTCTTTGTGAGCAATCTTAAAAAAAATTAAAGCAAAATTTTTGTTTTAAACAAACTAGCTCTGATGCAGCAACATAGCCATGGCAGCTCAGAGCTTAGTGTGGGGTAGGTGCATAACTACTTCCTGGCATTTCAAGGATATTTATTCAGTAGCATTTAGCCACGAGCTCTGCTGTGTAGCCTGAGCTACTTGATTTAAGGCTAGTTTATATTCACCTGAAGATGTAAATGAATTCTATATCACTTGAGGTCAGGCATTGAGATCTGAAGTGTGGAGTTCTGGGTGACAGTTTTCCACTCTCCCATGGTCTTGCTCTGCACTGTCCAGTCCATTGTACATTTCTAATGAATTTATTTGAATATATTTTTTGTCGCCTATCTTATTTAAATGCTAAGGATTTCACATCAAAACTAACACAATATGAAGCCTTAGAGGGGATAGTTACGCAGTGCCATGAGTATGCTGATTGTATTTCTTGATATGTATATCCTTGTTACACAATGAATTTTGAGAAGACTTTGCTGCATTTTATCATCTGCTCTTTGAAAAAAGATTGTGAATTCTTGTGTGGTTCACCATACACTTGTGCCTATAGTCAGCAATAGCAGCTAAAATACAAAACCTAGTGGTCTGATCATGAGTGTATAAATCACAGTTCTTCATGTGTATTATGGACTTCCTACTCATTATTGAAAGCAGTGTCTTAATAGTGGTCTCTAAGACTTTGTACAATTTGGGTTCTAACTGTTGCAACATGCTTTCTGTCTTATTGGATGTTTTTACTGTAATGGTTCCCTGGGTCTGAAAACTGAGAGTTTGAAGGGAATCCACTGTCAATGAAAGGTCCTCGTTTCCTGACTTTCATTACCTTGTAGAAACAGAAGACCTAAAATTTGTTAATTAGCAGGACAAGGTTAAAAGGCCATGATATTAATCACATCTGGCAGATATTAATTAGCACAAAGGGAAAAGAGTTCAATATCTTTAAGGTTGTTCCTTGTTCCTTGAAGGTTGAAACCATTTTTTCAACTACTCTATATGAAATAATCTAGCGGCAACATAGATTACTTTGTTTGTTAATAACTGTAAATGAGCTAGCAGCCTTAAGCAGAATGTGAACGTCTCTTTGCAATCTAAATTTTAAACTAGATACATATTTAAAACAAAAATGAATTGTTTTAACTAATATTAAAAATGTCATCGTAGGAACAGTCTGCAGCCAAGCCTAAAATTTTGCTTAATGTTTTCTGGGAAAAGACTGATTCATTTCCTTTGTTTGTGTCACCATTGGGTTACCTCGTCTTGTCTAGCAGGATGGATATTGTTATTTATTAATTTTTTGCTTTTAATAAATTATTTCAAAGTTGCTTAAGGCATCAAATAAAAACTCCATTACTCTATGCGTAAAAAGAAGAACAGATAATGCGTTAGTTTTTATCTGATCTGCTTGACAATGTCCCCTTAATAACACTGACAAAAATCCTGTAAAAAGTGTAATCTTTGCTTTTGCTGTTCCTGCCAACTTAGGGCAATTACAAATTATTGGTACTCCTACTATGATACTGTGTTGTATAAAACTGAGGTATTGCAGACTACCTTCCAACTCTGAAGTATATAAAACTTGGATAAATGATAGATATTAAAGGTGATGCTGAGTGCCTGGCACACTTGTTGACTGGGAACACACAGTACTTCACCGAATGAGGCCCTAAAGTCTTCAAAAGAGTACTATAAGGACTAAAATATTTATGTGATAAATCAATAGAAATATATTCCTGTGTTAATTCTCTATGCCTACATATTCCCCAGAATTTGTGATTTATCCTTAAGCATTTCTAAATCAATAAATTTTTCACAATATAAGGTAAAAGAGCAGGCATATTTTTCTCCATGTCATTCTCCACATACGCTAAAGTTTGTTACTTAGTATGGTCAGTACATTACAAAACAAAATATAGCAATGAAATATAAAACTATGCATCAACACATACCATATGTTCAGCTTCATTATAGTCAGCTGTTACTTAAACTTGTAATGATTTTCCATGTCATTTTACATCAGATTTTTGTAAAAAAAAAGGAAAGATGGCTAGTAAGTGAATTGATTTTGGGTTATTGCAGTGGTGAAAACAACTTATTTGCATGATGTTTATTTGCTGTGACTTGTCCATTCCTCCCTTTTCCAAAACCATCTTTCTTTTCTTTTTTTTTTTTGTTTGTATGCTTTTGCTTTACATATTACTTTGAACAATATTTGTCTATACTGTTGGAAAAGGTTTCATAAAATAAATGTTTAAAGTATTTTAGCAGTATTGAATTGAAATGTGAATTTGTTATTTAAGTGCTTTATATTGTAGCATGTCTAGTCATGTCACTTTTACTATAGCTGAAATTAACCTTTATTTGGAGAACCTTTTTTGGTTGCTTTGTAGGTGAAGATGGATAGCACACCTCAGGATTGTGCTGATTATCATTTCGCTGTTTGCCAGTAGTCTTTTAAATATGTATGTATATAAAATTAGGTTAAAATCAAAGATATTTCTTTTAAATAAGAGAAGTAAGGCATATAAATGACCAGGAAGAATGTCATGAGAATATAGCTGCTGCCTTTAGCTGGCAGCTGCCAATCTCTTCAGGATTATAAATCTCAGTAACTTCGGATGGTTGAACATGAAGTTTAGCAGGACTTTGCAAATGGTTTGTTTTGGTGAGGTGGGATGGATAAAGGAGTGACAGGGAGTTGAGAAGGAGCTCTCAGATGTGGGTGTGTTTGTTCAGGAAGCCAAATCCATGAATGTTGCCTTTTGCCTCAAGACTGGAATTGATGATTAATCCCAGAGAAAGAAATCATGTGCCACAATGGGTTGTAGAGATAATCATTCTCTGACCGATTTTCCTCCTATGGCTCCTTTCTTAAATGAAGGAATGATTATAACAACTCTCTTTATAAAGGAGCTAAAATTTAAAATGGAGTAGTGTTAATAAGTACAGTATTTCTGGGAGCAAAGACTAGCCTTAGAAGGAGGCTTTCCTGAACCTGCTCAGTGCTTTCTCTCCTGGAATACTCTATAGTGTCATCTGCTATATATAGCTGTCATCTGCTGTGGCAGCTCTTCCGTAGTTTCTAAGAGCAAATTTAACATTCACTTTTTTGAATCATCATGTACACAGGTGTAACTTTTAAAATGAATCGTTACTATAAGTCCTAACGGTTTAAAATGTTGAGAAAAATATTTTTCCACTTCTAAATAAAAAAGATTTCAGATTTTTCTTTTCTGTGGTAAAAACATCCATAACAACTTAAACTACTCAACTCAAACATTATCTTATAGCAAGTAGCATAATAATAAGTGAAACTAGACATCAGGTAAGATCAGCATACTTGTTATTTTTAACTTTTTGCTAAATTATCTTTTTAGAACTGCAACAGCAACTAACAAATTACTACTTTAAAATGAATTACCTGGAAGCAGAATGCACATGTACAACATGTACGTTGCAGCCTTTTAAATATAATGTACAATCCTTAGCCGTGATAGGCTCTTAAGTCTGTATATCTGAATGACAGAAAGGATGAGTTCAGAAACTTGTGCAGTTCTGAACTTCTGTAATAACTAGGCAAAATCCACAATTTGTAGGAAACCTATGTATCTTGTATCCATAGAGTTGCCTTCAGCAGCATAATACACCTTGATTTGTTTGCAGTGAGACGATCCTGTAACTCACCTCCTGATTTCTTCCCAAATATCTTCTTGCACAAACATGCACTTTTGATTGCAGTAGACACAGCTAATTGGGGTTCTTGCTGGAAGATACTAGTTTATAACAATTTGCAGCAGTGGGCTACTAACATATCCATAAGAGAATATATTTAAAGACATAAATGTCAGAAGGGTGACTAAATGATTTATGAAAATAAATTTTCAGACATTGGACTGGCTGCATTAAAAGCCTTAAGAACTTGTTCAAGGTGCTTTGCTTCCTAGCACAGGTTACAGAATCAGGCCCTAACAGCAAATGTAGGCTTCTGTATTAAACCTTATCAATAGAGTCAGAATCACAGAATTATAAGGGTTGGAAGGGACCTTAAGAGGTCATTGGGTCTGAAATAGAAGATTAAGTCAGTTCTGCAATATTTTATTGCACAGTTTTACTTTGATAATAATTGTGCATTCATAAACAGTGATGACCCTTAAATATTCTTTACCAGTTACCTAGGTAGGACATCACATCATTAATGCTAAGGAGGTTTCAATTGGCTTGGTCCTGTAGAAATATGGTTAAAGGGATTTTGTTGTGCTTGTTAGGTTATATATTTCAGAATTTTTCAGCCTTGCTGGTTAGTCCCAGACAACAGTTTTGGATGATGGCTTGCTTGCCAAAGTCATGCTTATCTAATGGTGCGTTATGCATGTGTAGTGCGCGCGTGTGTCTGTGTGTGTGTCTGTACATGTATATATATAATGTGTATATATATACACACACGCACACATGCACATATATGTTGCTTTTCCTTCAGTAGGCAATATTGTTTGTTTTGTTTTGTTTTCTCATTAGATCACAGGTTTTGTTTAACTAATTTCTGTTTATGCAAAACTAAACAGAAGTATGCAAATATTTGACATTTCATGTGTAATCACAAACGTTTGCACCCTGCCTGCTCTGTTCAGGGCTATTTTAGTGATGCCTGGAATACGTTTGACTCCCTCATCGTTATTGGCAGCATAGTAGACGTCGTTCTCAGTGAAGCTGATGTGAGTATACCCCAGCTTACTTTCCCCAGTCCCTACTTCTCTTTCTCTGTCTCCCCACTATTTCCATCATCTGGACAAGTCACAGATTTTGATCTGATGTTTCTAAAGTTTGAGTACAGACCAGTCATAGGTCAATTATGTTGATATGGGAAATAAATAGCCTTTTTTTTTCTACCAATTTTTTTAGCTAAGAAAAGGGAAAGATTGTATAGTGGTACATCAGAGAAGTCTAGAGTGTTTCTGTGTTATAACACTGTCCTTTTCTTCTCTTTTTCTGTTTGTGTTTTTCTCTTGCTCTCTTTCTGCTGAATGCTTGTCCTAACAGCACTATTTCACTGATGCATGGAACACTTTTGATGCCTTAATTGTTGTTGGTAGCGTCGTTGATATTGCTATAACAGAAGTTAATGTAAGTAGCAACTGTTCATGCACTAAAAAGTAATTGCTGTCATCAAGAAATACAGAAAATGTAAACTTTATATCCCCAAATTCTCTTTTTTTAACAAAAGTATGCTTTATACTGAAATTGAAGACTAAAATATTGACATAGATGTTCATAAAAGCTGTTATTATAGAACTATAAACGAGTAAAACTTCACGTGCACACAGTATAGTAAAACAATGGAATTATATCTTTCTATTTATGTTTGGAATTTTTTTTTAATATATAAAATGTTTAAAATGAAATGAAGCCTCAATTGCTATTTTATTTGAAGCCCGGTGATTTTTGTATGTAGCTTGACTCAGATAATTTAAGCATCTCTAAATTGTTTTAATGGCTTAGCTTAACAAATAATCATTATTTTTTTTTTCCCATGGGAGGTACATTTTATAAAGTGGTTTTAGCATCTATGTCTCATGAGATAGTGGAAGAAAGGTACAAAGAGAAAATAAGGGCTTTCATGCCATGGAAAATAGAATGTTTATCCCCTTCTCCCCCTTTTTTTTCCTTTTCCAATACTGCAGTAAATGTTTTGAAATTCAATTTACTCTTAAAATTATTTGAAGACTCCATCTTTTCACCAAAAGTTTGATTAGTGGCCACTACATGTGTAGGTATTCCGACAATAAAAAGAGAGAAATTGTGATTTTTTCTTATTTTCTATATGACTTGCTGGTTTTAACAAGGAAAGCTGTATGACAAAAAAAGATAAATGAAAGATAACAAACCACAGAACAGCTCTGGAGCAAATGCTGTCCATACATACATGTTTCTTTAACTAGTCAAAATGAAATTTCAGAGGAAAATGCCTCTTCTCTTTAGTGCTTGTCAAGAGTTCAAAAAGGGAGACTGAAGATAGTGAGACTTACATCCAACTCAGCAACCAAAAATGCTCAATGAGTGCACAGACTCAGCAGGTGTAGTTAGCATATTACACCTGCTGGAGATCGTGTCTGCTTGGCATTCTGAGAACAAAATTATCCACAAATACCTATGGAGATGCAGGTCTCCAACATTCACACCTATCAAAGAACAGATTAATCAGAGAAAGCTGTAGATGTAAGTGGTTTCTTGGTATTATCTTATTTGAAGATTGCATATTTCTGTGCATCAGTCCCACTTTATGAGCTGGCTAAAAACATTCATTTTCTCATAAAATTGGTTTAGTAAGCTACTTGCTAGATACCTTTATTTTTATTTTTTTGCCTTTTTTTTTGTCTCTGATAGATTTTATTATTTACCCAAATGCTTTCTTTTCAGTAGGGATAGTTAACATGCAGCATCTTTGAAAAAACTTTAAATTTTCAGTAAATACTCTTAAGTGGTGAATATAATTGCAATATCTCTATTTTCTATTCGAGAGAAGCAAGGCAGAAAAGTTGCGATCTACCCAAAGTCTTAATGGGGGCCAGTGTACAGTGGCTCTTAAGCCCTATGCATTGAGCCCTTTGATGTCTTTGAGCATACTGTTACCAAATCAGAAAAAGAGTCTGCTAAAGTGTTCACAGTTTGGTTCTAGATATATTTTTATCAAAAGAAAGTAGAGAACAAACCCTTAACACTATATAGCACTTCTGTAAAACCCAGATTTTAACTTCACTAAAAAGCATTCAAAGAATAAATATATGCTGTATATTTTATTTGTTTGTTCGTTTGGTTTTTAAAGTTGGCTATCCTTTCTGTGGCTATCACTGCCATTTAATTGAAACAGTTTCTCAGAGAAAAGATAGATTAAAATGTATTTTTCAAAGTGGTTCATGCCAGCAGCCAGATTCTTAGGATCACACTGCTCCAGTGAATAGCAGAAATGATACCCTGACCTTCAATTAGACAGTAACTTAATTTTGGAACTGTGAATATCTGAGTAAAAAGGTTGCTGAGGAACATGGAATAGAAACTGTGTTTGAAAAGGCTGTGATCTGTTCCAGGCATTCCAGAATGAGGAGAAAACAAAACAAAATGAAACTAAAATGCTTTGTTCAGATCAGTGATCTGTAAACCACCTGACCAGGAGCTTGGATTTCTCGGGCTAGTCTAGACCGAGATTTTGTTTCGATGGTTTGTTTTGGTTCCTCTGGTTTGATGAAGATTACTTTTGGCATCCCTGTGAGTTTACACAGCCTTCACCCACAGCACAGCCCTTCTTCTTACTGATAGCTCTGCGAGCTCTGCTTCTGCAAGTGACCGGGGGCTTCACAGTTGCCTGGATCAGGTGCTGAGCACAAGCTACTGGCAAAAGCATGGGCCTTAGTGAGGCAGAAGTGAGTAGATGAGCAAGGATATGGCTGCTTGCCAAAGGAGACAGTTCTCATACTGTGCCTATACAGGTCTCCCTTCAGTTCGTATTAGCTTTGGCTTCGATAACATCAATTAACTGCAATAGCTGCTGCTGAGAAACAGTGATGTGCATGGTTTTTAAACTTCTTAGGTTCTAGTCTATTTGGTAAGCATAATAATACATATTATAAATATATTTCACACAAATATAGAAAACAAATGTATTCTTTTATTTATTTATTTTTAAGATGGCAGAATGCCTTCAAGTGCACGCAGTTTATTATCTCACTAAGGACTTCAAATTCCTCTATACAGCTGCAAATTCCACATACAGCCAGCTCAAAGAATAATCACAATCAAAATAATTTTAAGCCTGATTCACCTTAAATTTTATTTACCAATTTTATGTTAAATTGATCAAGAGTCTAATGACTGACTGCATTACTGGAAAGAAAATGAAGGAGTGGTACTCCTACTCATTAAGAATTGCTGTCCCTAATGTCCTTACTGAAGACATTGTCCTTAATGAAGAAATTAAAAAATATGTCAAAATGTACTTTTGCAATTATAAATGTCCCTGCATTTGTTGCTGTATGGACAGTGTTAATTTGACAGCATTACTTGTAACTGGTCACTGCTGAGCTTTCAGCTGTGATGAACACGGACTTTTTAGTGATTCACTCACTTGTCTTGAAACTACTCTGGAGATCAAGTAGTGATCTTCAGCTAAAGTACACCCCACAGTCAAGAACTAGCACTGCATTTCTTACTTTTTCGAAATATACTCACTAGACAAAAGGCTTATCTTTGATGTCTTTGAGCACTGCACAGCAGACTGTTTGTGTACTAAGCATTGTCTGTTTCTGGTCTTTTTTTTCACTTTTTTTTTGTGTGCTTTGTTTGTGCAAGTGATGAATGTGTTTCAGTTTCAATATAATTCTGGGCTTGATTTCCCATTTTTAGCATGAAACAGTGTATACTACAGTGTCTAGGGAACTTTAATGACTTTTATTGTTTTGATTCTATTGAATTATTCCTACTTCATTAGTTTTGTGTCAGCTTGTGTAATACAAATTTAGTGTTTTAGAATCTCTTTCTCAATATTTTCTTCAGCATTTGGAAATATACCATTCCATCCTTACTTTTATCTAACAATGACAGTGATCCTGGAAAATCCACAGCTCTGCTAAGATGCTAACAAGGCTTTATTTTCAATGGAATTTCAGGCACCATTGAAATGGCACCTGTATAAATTCCCAGTAGAGAAACTACTTAAACTGAGGAAGCTCAGCCTTGTTGGAGGGGTGGTCTGAAACAGTGTAATGTGCTAGCACTGATGTAAACCCAGATCTTGTTGCCATTGTAATTGATCAAGTTGCAGCCCTCTTAGTTGGTCGGTATAAATGAAGATTTAAAAGGATGTGAATACCTAAAATAACGTACAGAGACTTGAGATGAATTAAACATTCTTATTGATTTGCATACATAGTTGCCTCATGCGGTGGTAACAACTTGACCTTGTTGTGACATTTTAGCTGTATACATTCAGACTCATTCCAAAGGCCAGCAATTTTAACAATATTGTATCTGACCCAGTTTTTTTCAAGTGAGTGGGTTAGACTTTCTAGTTACATATCTCCTTGATTTCAGTATTAAGTTTTGGAAATTAAGTATGTTCTTTTTATTTTGCTGTTCCTTTTCTTATTTTTTTGAAATTTTATGATAATCTGTATGGTGCCCTGAGGCTGATTCTTCTGATCCAGTAACCTCCCATTTACACTCTGTCCAGGAAATTACTGTGTTTTGAATATCTCAGTGCCCATGGAAATCAATGTATTTAAGGTGTTCAGCAATTTACAGGACTGCTTGGCATTCACAAGGACTGGATCACTGACCGGCTCCAGAAATGAACCACCTCAGAGCAACATATATTTTGGCAACACACTATTTTCTATGATTTTTTTTTTCACTTTGTCGTTTAATATCCTTTCCTTTAACCAGTTCTTTTCATGAGCCTAATTGGTCTTCATGTTCATTTTATTTTTAGAAATTTTTAGAGGCAAGTATATATAAGTAAATATATATATGGTATAGAAATACAAAATTTAAAAGCACTACTAAAATCTATATAATTATTTTGGCTTTTTTGTAACCTTTTGTTTTCAAAAAATTTCACGTGACACACAAGATCTTGTGTGGTCATAAAAATGGTTCCTTTTGACTTAAAAAACAAAACAAAACAAACACACACACACACAAAAAAAAAACAAAACAAAAAACAGGGTGGTGGTTGTGAGACTCAATATGTGGTCAGCCCATTCTGGGAGATGAACATCCTTAACTTAAGGCAATGAGAGAGAAATAAGTGGAAATAAATTCCAAGAAAATGAATAAACTCTTAAATGGAAATAATAGACATGGTTCAACCTGGTCTGACTGTATAAAAACTATCTTCATATTTGATGGTTCAGAAACCATTTGGATGACCAGCACTAGATGACTTAAAGGCATGATCACACTGACATGCAGTAGTAGATACAGAGGTTTTTATTCACATTTTTTATCATTCATGTGCTGCCAAAATGTCAAGAAAATGACGGAGAGTTCACTTTCCTTTTAATTTGTGAAAATGTTTAATGCAGCCCCTGTGAACCTAATCTTATGCTTCAAGTTCAGTAAGATTCAGGTTC